ACTCCCGTAGTGCGTCAAAAACAGTCGGTCTCTTAAGATAAAAAGAACGGAAATAACATTCTTTTTTGTGCATAAAGAAAGAAACAGGAGAATATGCAATTGTACTACTAGCCCATTTAAATAACCAAAGAAACAGCCATAAACTCAAGAGATGTAAACAATACAATCAATTACTTTCTGCAACAAATCGCTGGCTTTCACCTTTCCTCCGGGAAACCAGGCCCTACTGGATGGTCACATTGTACACCTTTGTTACAGGCCCTGTTGCCATGGTAGCACTGCTGGCTGCTGAGGATGCTGAGGGCCTCTCTCTTCTGACATATCTTGGTTTGCGCACTGCAGATTGGAACAAATAAATCAACATGAATAATTCTCACTAGCCATCCACTAACAAAAAACGATTAACTAATCATGTCAAGATCTTTTTGTAATTAAACCAGTTCAACCCCAGCCATAATAAACTGACAATAAATTGTTATTCGGAAAACATGTTCAAGAGATAATCAGAAAATCAATAGCCAAGCTTAGTCTAATTTATCTGAGAACAGACAAAAGGTTGTTCAGACTGTTTTAATACATGTTTTTGAATATGAGGATTATTATTATTATTTCTATGAATGCTACTCATTGCATTTAAAAGGTAAAAGTGACTCAATGTTTATGTATAACTGTAAATATTAGAAATGTATATGTTCTTTTATGTATGCATATATTTACTATACTTGTACAGTGTTAATTCATCTCCTTAATTCATTTAATATGCTTTATCTTTTAAGAGCATAGCTACATTGACAACAAAACCCAAGATAGTCAACAACTAAAACATTCAATAAACAGCTAAAAATATATATCTTCTTACCTGAGGATGTGTCAGCAGGTATCATTACAGCCTTTAAATAAAATAAAACAAAAGCTCTTTATATAACCGTTTTTAGTATGTGCTGAACAACTGTCCTAAGCATGATTTAAAAAATAAATAAATAAATAAATAACAAATAGAAAAGATCTGTAAGTAAGACCTTACCGTTTCACTAGGTTGAAATATGAAAGCTGATGAAGAGAAAATACATACTTTCATAAACTTGAGCGGATTCAATTAAAATACAATTTGAACGAGATGTTTCAGATGTAAAATTAAATCCAGCCAATAAATCAATTAAAAAAATACATGAATGAATGTTTTCTTCCATACTTGGCTGCAGGCTTCACAAAATCACATGCAGTGAATCTGGGTTTCATTACCTTTGTTACGCTTGTAGAAAACACCAGGGAGACGGTTGGAGCGTTTGAGGTAGAAGAAAGAGGCGACTGAGAGAATAAGGAAAAGACTGATCAGCAGAGTCCCCAAAAGCACGGAGGCTGCAATGCCTGGACCACCTGCACACAAAACACATGACTAAGTATCATCACTGTTATATGAAAACCTCTTTCCTTTGCTCTACCATTTTTTTTGCTATATAAAAATGCAAGCGCAAACATTTCATGATGAATGGACCAAAATTTGATGCTTTAAAGTTAACATGAATAAAAAAAATTATAATGCACTTAATATGACTTGGGACATAAACTTACAAGGTAAAAACAGTTACATAAAAGATTACTGTGTCTGTGTATAGTTAACAGTAATAAGGCATGAGACATAATATTTATTTTCACCTGAAATTTAAATGCCTCATCTTACCAATCTTAATTGGCGTAGATATTGAGTTGTTGTTGCTGGTCTTTGCTGAGAAGTGAACAAAGTAAAAAGGGAGAGAGAGAGAGAGAGGGTAAAAAGCAGAAGTATCTCATACTATAGTATTAAAATAATATTATTTATTACAGAAGAACAGTCACATTATTTAAATAAAGACACTAAAATGGGGAAAATGTAAAATATCTGTGATAACACAACAAAGTAACAGTGCTATTAACATAACAAAAGCTTTATCTTTGGCAATATTATCACATGAATTTTCTTTACCAAAGCAAACAAACTACCCTAGATAGATCAGTAAATATGCATATAACAAAATGGCAGGAAAGGGGTTCCTATTTTAGTCTTTTTTGTTACCCAGTTTTTCCTCGCACAACACTTACTGTAGTAGCAAAGTGTGAGGTTCTCCAACTCTGAACTCAAAGAGTCACATGGCACGCATGTGTTGTTCTCCAGAACATGGAGGCATCCTAGTGGAGAATATGCACCATCATTAGGACAAAACTGTCAAATATTGGGCTGTGTTTACCAAATTTTACAGGACAATTGATGATCTAGGCCCCAATTATTGTTTTAATACCATAAAAAATAAGAAAGAAGCTTTTATATGTCCTTTTATTTCAAATATGGCAGTCAAGACATGTAAGATCCAAATAGATTTGGACAGTTACTCTCCTTTCCTGTTTTGGCTGTATAGATGGAACCTAAGCAGATGAATGATAGTAACTACTCAGGTTAAATATTTGATATATTAAAAACATAGAACACATTTTGAAATGGTTTTAAGCATCTAAGTAGTTCTGTATATCATAAGTGTATGAAAATATTTTTTTTAATCAAAGCTGACAATCTGCATTTAAACCCTAACTATGCCATTTCAAAATCAGCGTACATGAATGCAGAAACTACAAAAAGCAGACAAGCCTTTTTTGTAGTTCACTGCATATTTCAGACTTTCTAAGCTTTAAAAATTAATCACAACTCTCTCTTCATGACTACCCTGGCATTCTGTGTGTACAGACTGTAGATAAGAGGAACCGTATGAATAGAAGTGCGAATTTAAAATGGAGAACATATGGAATATACCAGGATAACAATGTGTGCTGTTTGCACAGGTTTCATTCATCTTCTGTATTCGTCCACAGCAATCATTTGTGTTTTCCAGCAGAGCCTAGAACACACAGACACACATCTCATTTTAGTGTGAGAAACTGAGGCCGTCACTGAATTGTAAATACATATTAAAAATTTTGTGTTTACTTGATATCTAAATGCAATTCTACAACACACAGAATATAGTCTGTTTTGGGTTTACAGTTGCTTTTTCACAGGGTTGTGCTATTCTGTGAACATGCAGTCGGGCTCCTTCAACAGTATAGGTAAAACTGCAGAAAGTTAACCTCTACAGGTTTTTATCAGTGATAGACAAAAATAAGACAGGTACCTGTGCTACTCGAACTTCTAACACAAATAGCGCCACCCCGATGATGCAGTAAACTCTGATCATGGTGAAAGCGGTCCTGTGGGTTATATTGGACTGTGTCAATGTCGACAAATCGATAAATGAGCTGCATTTTTCTTAAAGAAGAAATTAAAAAGGTTACGTTATCCCATTTAGCATCCAACACAACACCCATGTGAAGGGTCAACGTTACCCTAATGATTTAAAATAAAGATGCTACAGTAAGAATTTAACTCTATCCAAAGGGTAAATTAAACGCCCAGTAAGCCATCAAACCAGTAAAAACTGACTTAACAACTTAATTAAAATTCAAACTACACTGATGACCAGCATCAGCTAGCGCTAGCCAAATGGCTACTGTTAGCTTGCTGTTTATTTATATCCCAGACACTTTAAATAACTGACAAAATAAATTACAACGGAAATAAATCTGTCGTATTTAAGCGTGTACAGATCACTGAGGACTAAAACAAACACAAACTTACCTTATCGGATCAAGTTTCTTAGGATGACAGCTTCGAAGATTCGTGTCTGCAGCGATGTACTTCCTGTTTATCAAATTGCTTTCCAAAATAAAGGTTTCTTGTTATTTAAATAACTAGACTACTTTAATATTTTTTCCTAATGGTTTGGCATTAAAGATCGAATTTTACATTTACTGATTTAATTAAGTAACAAAGAAAAGCAGATCGCCATTTTCTCTGATCAGTTAAAGAGGCAGTGAGGGGCAGTTTCAGTCTTAGAATTCTACAACACTGCAGTGATTGAAGTCATGAGAGGCAAGAAAATTAGCTGATGAACATGGATGAACTTCTCTGTGTTGTAACCCAGATAAATGTTTTTAGGAATAAGCCTGTCTAACTGTTATGGAACCTTGAACTTCCTTGGCATATCCTTACTCGTTTGTGTAATTTATGGCTATCGAAAGATTAGGATGGACATCCCTTGATAAAAATAATAAAAAAATAATAATAGTTTAGTTTGTGTTTTCTTATATTTGGTGCACTTCATATAGATTTTTTTACAATAATAAAAATAGGCATGGACAAGAGTCTCAGATGTACTTCTGTCAAATAATATACACAATTCTTACATTTTGTGATTACTTTTAATATAGATAGATAGATAGACAAAAATGAACTATGAAAATTAAGTTGGAGTTTCTAGCCTACTTTCCATATTTACATGTCAGGTCAGGACAAACGTCAGATTTTTGAGATAGTTTTCTTTGGCATTCATGTTATCGCCACTGATACATAGCAGAACTGGTCGTTTATCACTGTCACGTGCGCGACAAATGATTAGCCAGCTCGCGTGGGGCATATTTTTTTATTTAACGGTCACTTTTACCGTTACTTCAGCCGTAAACGACTTTTAGAAACATTACAGGCTGTTTCAAATGCTGTCATTAAGCTAAACATTGTTTTAGACTTAAGTTACTTGTTTTGGGGTAAGTTTTGAGCACAGGGTCTCCCACTCTTGTGAGGTAAAATACTGAATTAATCTGTAAACCCGGCTGTGACTAAACCGTTAGCTAAATCAGGCAAGCTAAGTTAGCTAATAACCGTCCGTGGTAAACTAAGTAGGATTGTCATATTGTTAGCTAGCTAGAAAGCTAACCCTGTAGTTAAGTACCTAACCTAGCTAGGTTAGCAAAGACGGTATCCTAGAAATACGTTGCAAACTCTCTCCTTTCACCTGTTTATTTTCCTGGCTGTGTTTATGTTATAATGCAGGTTTTAGTGTGTAAAACTGGGAGTTTTGGTTGGATGGGTATAACGTTGATGAATAATATTTACTAACTTTATATCTTTTAGTGGCAGGGCATAGCGATACTGGAAAATGAAGCCAAACGTTTGGAACATAAAGGATGTTTTGAATATCCCATCAACCTCGATGTAAGTTAAGTCTCCATCTGAGTTTTACATCTTAGTCTGGCATTATGAGGCTTACGTAGATTGACCATTGGTGAGCGAACACTCTATATTATTGGTTATATGTGGTAACATACAGGCATCAGTGGTAATTCTGTTGCACCTGTTATGAACACTAGCATGCATTTCAACTTATTAATCATTTCATAGGGCAGCAAAATCTGGCAAGGGAGGTGCAACTAGTGACTACTCCAGTCTGACTGACTCCCAGCTTCTGTTTGGATCTCAGTTCTGGCCAGAGAATTCTCAAGGCTTTTCCCAGGAGTTAAGTGGACCGTTCAGAGGTTCTCAGCCAGCCTCACAGGAGGTATGATTTAACAGCTCTTTAGGTTATGGATGGATGTATTCAGTCTGCCTGCTCTCTGCTACTCTACTGCATACAGCCATGCTTTAAGGTCTACAGCTATCAGCTTAGCTTTTAGGTATGAAACCGTGTTTACTATGTTCAGTATTTCTAATTTGATTCACTTACTAATGTCTTTATTTGCTATGAAGTTTTTCTTTCCAAATTACAAAGGAAGCTGGACTGTTGCTCTTGTACCTGTGTACTTTGGAATGTTTATATGCCCTAAGAAGCATTTTTTAGATTATCTTCATATGTTTTATCATTTTTCTTCCATTGTTTAAATATTTTTAAGCTGTTTTAGATAAGAGGGCCTGCTAAATGTTAAACTTTAATATGGAAATATTAAGCCAGTTTGTAAACATTTATCTTTTCAGTAATATATTCTGCTTTACTTAAATCTTGACAGATAAGTGAACTGAAGGTTTCGACCAGTTATCATTCCAAGCCTTTGTTGTTTGGAGATGGCAAAGCAGCAAACATCACTGGTGGTAAAACCTTGGGCATATTAGACAGGTTTGAAGAGGAGAAAAGAAAGGCCAAAGAGAAGTATGTATATTTCTCACCTTACAGCCTATTACTTTCTCTGTTTGTATAGGTTAGGATCTTTTATTGGAATTTTGAGAAAAAAGGCTTGACACTGAAATGTTGTGATCCTGTATCTACTAGAAACAGGTGATTTAAGATATCATGAAAAATAGATTGAGAACTTACAGGCATATGTGTGATGATTATATGACCAGTGATAAAATACCAGTGTGTCTTATACTTTCTTTAAAACAATTTTCCACTGCTTCGTTTAGTGAAATTGTCAGTCATGGATTCCGACAGCTGCATGAAAGTCTGGAAAATGTAAGTGATAAAGGAAGAGGGACAAACTATCTGTTCAAGGTTTACTTTTTGTGAAATGACTTTCTTATGCATGTTATAGTCATCTTAAGATTATTTTTAAAACTTTGTTCCAGATCAAAAGAACGATTTTAAACGTCATTGAGGGGAGCTGTGATTTCAATAAAAAGACTGTAGCTGAAGGAATCGACAGTCTTAGAAAAACAAGTAAATATCATTGTGCCAGTTATTATTTCCACTTTTCTATCATACATTTCCACTATCATATACTGATTCAGTGTATTTAGACCATAAATGTAATTTGTCAAGCAGAAGGTGCTAATGCTCAAACATAGGGGTAATTGTAGAAGACCCCTGAGTAGCTGTCGTTTAGTCCATGTTGCTTTTTTTATATGCCAAATAATTATTTCCATTAAAATAATATGGACTGTAGTTCAGGATGATTTAGCCAACGTAAAGGAGAGCATAGCAGGTCAGGCAGAAGTGCTGGCGAATCTGCAGAACCAGACACATAAAGAGAGGAAGGACAGTGAAGCTAAGGTGAGACAAAAAGCTGAGATATACTGATAGTGAATGTGTGTTGCTCTTGAAAGGATTATGTATTCCTTGCACTGTTGATTGCACAATTTTGAAAAAGTCATAGTTAATAATTGCTTAGTCATGATAGACTGCCTTTCCATTACTGGTATAAGAGTTGCATCAGTGGCAAGCACTCTAATGAGTAAGAGAAACGTAACTCTTGCCCAACTCTGTGCTCATTATTTTTTGTTATTTTTATTTTATTTTTACAACTGGGACATTTTGGCTATTCTATACAGAAACTGTCCTCATACATTCTTAAAAGTGAAAAAGGGTTCTTTGAAGCTACCATAGAGTAGAAGAACCGTTTTTTGTTCCAGAAAGAACCTTTCAACGGAGTTATTTAAAGAACCATCAAATTTAAAGTTTTTTGGGGAACCAAAAGCAGTTCTTCCAGTCTTTAGCATTGCTCCAAAGAGCGCTTTTTGACACCTTAATTTTTAAGAGTGCAAGATGTCTCTCAGTTAGCAGTAACAATTTGGGATGGATGACTTGCTTCTAATATCAGCATAAAATGCAACTTTTATTACTGTGATTTAAAAAAAAGCATGTTTCTTGTTGATGTACTCTGTCTTTATTACAGTGTGTGATCAATAAAGCATTAGATTGTTTGCCAGAAAATAATGAAACAGCAATGTAAACATCACAAATTGGAATATTTTACTTTTTATATCCACACTCTGAAGGAGATTTCTCTGTTTTCACAGACCACATTGGCTGTAAAAGACTTGAGCTCACTCGTGCTCAGTCTCCAGCAGGATTTGGAATCTCTAAGAGAAGACCAGAGAAAGGAGCACAGTGTGTTTGGAGAGCTTCAGTCTCTACTTGGCACAATAATGGCCACTCAGTCATGTGGAGCTCTTCCTAGACCTGTCAGAATGACTGACAACACGGTTCAGACATCACCTGGTCTTGTAGAGAGGTTCTGTGTCATTTCAGAGGAAAAGCATTTTTGTGAAGGCATTATGTTTTGCAGTGGGACTCATTCAGAGGGAAGAGCAGACCACAGTGTGTGTCTTGTTAAAGCAAAATCTCCAAAAAAGCTTAACACAGATGCATCTCTCCGGGTCTTACGCCCTGTGTCTATTGACAAGCAGAAGCAACTGTTCAACAACACAGCGGCTGAGAAGTCCTACTGCACACGCTCAGTGATGACCACTGCTTCGAACCCAGCAGTCACTACGACAGTCACTGCTGATCTTCAGAGAAGTTGTATAGTTGGAGCCCCTGTGCATGTGGAACGAGTGAAGCCTTTGGTTAATATGGAGGAGAACAGGTTCACAACCTGGAATGAGGTATCTAGACAGAAAAAAATGCCCAGGAGAGGACAGAGAAGCCAGCATTTCAGAAGGAAGAAGAGGGCTTTGATCTTACCACAGAGGAGACCGAATAACAGGATGGCTTCAGTTGACATTTTTGAGGATAACCAACATAATGAAGAGCATGAAAATAGGGTGCCTCTATCAACAGTCAAAACTGTTCCAGAGAATCATCTACCGTCTACAAAGCAGCAAGGCACAGCAGGACTGACAAATAGGAGTGGTTGTGGACAGCACCTGAATCCTTGGTCATGGTCCCAGGACAGCAGCAGCTCCCAAATAATGGTGGAATACAAGAAGGCTGAACACGAAGCAGTGATGTCTGAGCACAAAACTAATACTATAATGAGACAGACCGGCATCTGGCAGCTCTTTGATTTCATCAGTGACTCGGATTAATTCTCTAACTAACGCTCCTAATGCCCTGATGAGGGCCTAACTGTTCAGAGAAAGGCTAAATGTATTTTATCAAAGGCAAAACAAGTTCTTTATTAAGGATTTCTGTAGAATTTTGTATTTCTTTAAACCTTGGGAAAATAATTTCCAGTTCATGTGGTTCCACAATTTTATGTTTCCAATGATCTACAAATCCATGAATTTAGAACAGCAAATGTGTACATTATCCAGTCTTTTTTTTTTAGAAAAATGTATTTACATTTACAAAACTTGACACAGCTTCTTTTGTTTTTACTAAGGAGCTTATTAGGTTTCATACATGATTTTCCAAAAAAAAATCTGTTTGTGGTACTGTTTCTATGCAAGCTGCTTTTTCTGAAGTCATTGTATTTACCTTCAAGCCAAAGTAAAATAAAAGTGACACAGAAATAATCTTTGTATGATTATATTTTCAGAATACAGTACAAACGTCTTCTATTGTATTAGTTAAATCAAAGTTTCAATTGTATAAGTTTTATAAGGTGCATAAGCAGGTGTAAACAACATCTTTATAATACATTAAGTCCACCAATTCAAAATTTCTACATCAATCAAACTTTGATAAGTAACCAAAATCATCCAGAGTGGTTTGTTGTGAAAAGGTACATATTAAAGAGAATCTTAGTGACTTACCAATTTATTTACAATGGTGGTAATAGGAATCAGGGTTCACAATGTTTACAGTGCAAGTATAGCCATTTTATTTACTATTCAAACCAACAGTGAACCTACACGTCTTCTCACTCTTCATATGTTACAGTGATAATGGTTAAATCATGGTAAATCTAAAAAAAAAAATATTTCAGTACTGTTTCAGAACACCCTGCATGTACTATTTTAAAATTATTGTAAAATGATCGATATCGGGCATCAAGCAACATATTTGTAATCATTTCATGTAGTGGCTTTCTAAGAGGCAGCTTGTGAAAACATATGCTTCAGATGTTCCTATGACCACCACTGAACAATTCTGACTCTAGAACGGAGCATTTCACAGCAAACTACTCTGAATGAATGTTTTAATTATGCAGAAATTTTGAAAAGTCAGTCCCTTTTAATGACTGAAGAATTATTTCATATTATATTTAATATATCTTTTTCAAGCAGGAGTTAAATGAGTGAGATTCAGTGTAATTTGTTACATTCTCACTGTCAAACAGCTCAAGTAAACAAGTAAACTGAACAGTATCAGCAGTTTGACCTAATTATAAGAGAATGAGAATAACTCATTAACTCATAAACAATATACTAACAGCTTTCATACATAAGATCAAAATGTCCAACTTCAACTATGATGCCTTCAGTGAACATAAAATACAACCTATATATACAGAGAAGATCTCTTATTACGTAACTCAAAAGTGTGCCATATCCAATTTCTGACAGTGGCTTCTTTTGTCATACATGAATGTTTTTTGTTATTCATCCACTAAGTCAGCAGGAGGGGGCATGAGTCCTCGAGGGTTAAGGTTTGCCACTAGACACACATCATAACTGTCATGCATTATGGCCTGTTTGACCATCACAGTCCACTCATTCTCAAATGGATCCAACTGCAGGATGTCCTTGGTGATAATGTCATGCCGATCTGGGGAGAAGTTTATGGTTATAGGTATGTTATGGTATGTAAATATTCACATCTGAAGTGACATTTTCAAAATATATATTTGAATTTCAGTTGATTTCTGGGTACTGGGATGTTAGAGGTTTAATGGCAGGGTGCACGTTGATGAGAATCAAATTTATATCATTCCTCTCTCAAAAGCGGGATCACTCCATGAAGAGCATTAGTTTACTGTATATTTACCTGCGCCTTTATAGTATCCACAGACATATAGTTTTCCATCCACTACACCAGCATTCGTTGCGTTGCTTCGCAGTGACAGAAGGGGCCAGGGTAAAGGAGGGCCATCTCTCCAGAAGTCTCCATCTGGGTTGTAGATCTCTACTGCATCAAGACAGCGACGTGACTGGCCACGATCCACACCCTCACATCCAATACCACCTGTAAAGGCAGATACATCACATAACCAGATTTGCAGGCCTAGTGCACTTATAGGAGTAAGAGTTAATCTGATATCTACATTTATGACTTACAAAATTAACTGAAGCAATTATGTGAACATAGTGAAAGGTGGAAATGTATCGTTTCAGACTAGCATGGCATTGCTTATGAAGTACTTGCTTATCTATAACATTTAGCCTTTTGTGAGACTAAAAAAGCATGATATTTGTAAGCAGCTGCATGTTGCATAACATAAAAATCTTATGACATCATCGTAATATGAGCAAACCACATTCTGCCAAAGCTACTGCACAGTTTCACACTACCATTTAACCATTATATCATAAGTCAGTATGTCATAATAATAAAAAAGCGTTTGTTTTGTTGTTTAACTGCTCATATTGGTTTGGTGGTAGTTCTCCAGTTAAAAATAGCATTTGAGTCAAAGACACTATTCCTAATATTCAGCGTCCTGTTTCTTCTCACCTATAACATAGATTTCTCCATTGAGGGCAACTGCACTGCAGCGATATTTGGAATATTTCATAGGACAGAGCTCATTCCATTTGTTGGTCTCTGGGTCATACTCCAGAAGGCGGTTACTCATACGGTCAGGCTCCTCATCTGTGCGGTATGTCTGTCATTCGTGAGACGAGTCCAAACAGGTGCAGTTGGGGTGAGCAAAGAAAGAGAGAGAGAAACAGAGTAGGGTTACACACTGACACAATTACTGTGTTCCTCTCTCAATATGATCTTTTTTCCTCCATCTTGTGCAATAGCGCATTGTTAACAATGTCATCCTGCACTGCACATTGTTGTGCATTCTCTGCATTAAAGCACCTGCCTTTAAACTAAATTACAGCTGTTTTAACTAGCTGAGTCAGATGTGTTCAAACAGGGAAAACACAAAAATGTGAAGTGAAGGGGTAACCCATTCTTTTGTCTTTTACCTGTGGGGTCCGCCCTCCAAGCACATAGAGACAATTTTTCATCCTAACTACACTGTGATAGGCCAAGGGCATTGGCAGAGGAGCAGCACTGCGCCAAGGGCCGCCCTGTAAGGACCAGCGGTCAACACTGTTGGTGATGAGGTATTGGTTCTTCAGCTTCATCTGACCTCCGATTAGGTACAGGTTATCACCCAGAGAACAAAGTCCATATGAATCGCGATATTCTGCTGAAGTCAAGTGCTTCCAACTTCCCTGCGCTTCCTGATTATACCTAAAAAATGAAGTAAACAAGATTTTTGGTAATTATTTGATGTATCGAACAAGGAAGAGTATAAGCAGAGATATTGAATAGCACATTGCAATACAGTTGGCTCTTCCTAATGTGGAGAAACCTTAGGTTTTCACTGAAGTTTTACCTCCCAATGCCATATTCTCTCTATACTTACTATCAACCTTATACTTGTTTTCAATGTCAGTTGCAATGTCATGCTATTTTGAACAGATATTTAATTACAAATGACAGACTCTTAACATGTAGTTTTGTACTAACAAAATAACATAAGTGTTATTTTTTTTCCATGTTTGATGGAGGCAAATGGCGATTAAAATATTTAAGGCCTTCTGTCCTGGAGCCTTACTTGAAAATCTCAACATTCCTCTCCTTCTGTCTTGCCATCCTTCGTGCTCCTAATTCTCCTGCCACAATGATTTCATTCCCTTCAGTGACGACCCCAGCACAGACATATCCAAGGGCATCACCATAGCGAGGGGAGGTGATGTAAAATGTGCGACCAGTGTTGGGGGCATAGCAGAAGCTGCGGTCCAAATAGCTACCATAGCGTGACCGTATTCCTCCTGTGTCATTGCCAATGCAGAGCAGTAGATCAGTAGTCTCCATACCATAGCGTAGCTTCAGTCGGCGAGGTGGAGCATCTGGATGCATGCCTGCTGCTTCCATTGCATCTTCCATAATCTGTAGACATTCTGCATCAGCCAGCAGGGCTGTGTTGCGCTTCAGGGTCTCCTTCAGGTAACTCACGCTCACCAGTGGAAGACGTACCTTCGTCAAAAGTTCAGGGAGATGTTGGACACGGTTTTCTTCTTCTAGCCCTGGACCAACTGAATGATGTTTCACCCATCGCATCACCATGTCAAGAATGGTCTCCTCCCGGGTTACATTCAGGTCATCTGAAGTCAGCAGTGCTCCTAGCTGGTGGGCCTCCAGCTCCAATACTTCATCACTCAGACACACCTCAGTGAAGTGTTGCCGGAGGTAACGCTGAGCCTGATCAGCCAGCTCCTCAGCTCCCAGGTCCCGGGCGTAGTAATAGATGCCGAGGCAGTTGGAAGCATCCATTTTGTCAGTCATGTAGACCTGGCAACGTCCAAAAACATCATCCATTTGCAGTAGAAAGGCAGCAACAGAGATACCTTGCACATTGTCAGTGGTCAGTGGGAGCTTGGAGCTGTACATGTATTCCAACAAAAGGGCTAAACTTTGAGCCGGCATGTCCCTCAGAACCACGTGTCGATTGGCACTCTCACGCAGGCCACAGGTGAACATAACACGGAAGTAAGGACTGAATGCAGCAAGGACAGAACGGTGACATGGAAAACTGATGCCTTCAGCAACTAGCACCACATCTGTCAACTGTTCAGCCTCTCGCATGCGATTCAACTGGTCCAACAGCACCAGACCATGCTTAGCTCTCAGATCCATTTTGCTTGTTTATGAGGATTGTGTTTTTTAAAAAAATCTCAGAACTTCACTAAGTTTTCCTTTAGCCCAAGGACATTCTGGAGGTGATCTTTTCAAAATGGTAGGGAAGGTTCATCTGGCAAAACACAAAGACACCCAAGCTCAGCTAGTGCAGTTTGTTGACAACAGTGTGACTCTATTTTAGTGCATGCTGTTTACATGTCAAAGCACAGATGGTAACCCATTAAATAACACTATTTTAGGGACTCTTTTCATGCATAATTTTAAAATGTATTTGTAAAGCACAAGTCCTTTTACCAGGTCTAGAAAAGCAAAACTGCAACAAATGCCACAAGCACTCAATACGTCCCGACACACAACAAGCCTACCAGTTAAATATGGATCACAGTCACTGCTGTTTCAATTCCAGTATTGACTACTGAGAGAGACGCGCCAGCGCTGTGGGTTAGATCAGCACATGCATTGATGAGTCGTACCAGATCACTGGCCTACTGTGGTTTTTGCCCTCAGGAGACAAGCCGTCCATTACCCTCGCGTCACACACAGACACACACACGCTATGCCTCTGACAGTACAGGGAGGAGGAGAGAGTGCAAGAGAAATCTGTTTACTCAACCCCTTTATGCCCCGTGCTAAGCAACATAGCTAAGAATAGACCATGATGTGTCAAATGCCCAATGGGGGATAACAGGAAAGAAACTGAAAGATATGTTCTAAAAATACTTGAAAGTAAGTTTCTAGATAAATTGCAGACTGTCTAGAGGTTCATGTTCACTTTCAGTATTTAGCAAGAAGGTGAACTGACTTCAGTGTTTGTATATATTTATTTATTTTTCTGTCATGTGTGTGCATGTATGGAATGGCCCTCCAGGCTGCTGGGCATTTGGGGTCAGATTTCACGCCATCACGTTGTTAAAGTGACTACAGACTCTGAACTTGAGCATTAAGTCATATAAGCATTTGTGCATTCCATGTAAAATCCAGAATTTAATGGACTTGCTAAATTCCTGTTTGTAAAAATTCAGCCAAGCCTTACAGTATAGCAGTCAGGTGACTTGGAGACTTCTGGATGGGAAAGTAATAGGGGTGTAATTATACACTATACATTGTGATGCAAGAATGTGGAGATGGGAGATATTGGCTGTATTTTAATAATTACACCATCTAACCAGATTAGATTCTTTGAACTCAATTAATCGGCAGCAGCATGTTTAGTGTCATTAGCTTAATTAGATTAATCTCATTAGTAAGTTGTGCAACAACTTAAATACAGTCATGATTTTTAAAATTTCGTTGAAAATATTTAGAGAAACAAATTGTGAGCCCCGTATTATTCATCAAACTGAAGTATGAGTGGAATCTAAGGTTATACTCTTAGGAAATAAATGGCTCTCTTAAAGATAAAGGGAGACCATGAAGGTTATAACTCAATAAATTATGACAAATATCAATTTCTTTTGCTTTGTCTTCTTGTTGGATTTTTTAAAGATTTTGTTTCAGTTCACAGTCTCCTTATAGTTCATTTTTTACCAAGGGAGGCATTTGTTCTTGCTTCTCCCAAGAACATCATGCCACATGACAATTATTTTTAGGCTAATTAGAATAATGTCTGAGGTCCAAAACATTCTTATACATAATACATCCAAGTAAAAAATACATAAATAGGTTATGTAACTGACAGATGGTTCTTATTTAGCATATTTTAGCAAATTGTTGGGCTTTCAGTTTAGATATTATTCAGAAGTACAATTATAAACCTGTGATTTGGTCAACTGGCCTCTAACTGCTATGGAGGAAGCCAAATTGATGATCTGAGTTAATACAATGCACTGTAAGACCTTACTACACTCAAGAATAATAAATGAAAAAGAATACCATGAGTGGTCAGCAGTTTGCAGACAGTGGTTCCCATGCTATGGAAGCTAACCTTTAAACAGTCAGCCCAATTATTAATGGAAATATTAACCATGGAGGGCTTTGCCCTTGGAAAATGTTGATGTAATAACTGACAATGAAACATCCTGTCCTTCACAAAAGAGCTAGTCAAAATTCACTGTATAACAGCACTGAAGTCACAGAGTTTTAAGAATATTCTACTAAAGAGATCAGAAGTGTGTAAATTATGAGGATGCAGTAGATTATGGAATTCTAAAGTAAAGGTAAAATATGTTTTTGGTAATATTAATTCAGCTGGAGCTTGAAGGCATCATAGAATGCATTTCATGCTTCATTAGGCTTACTTTTGCAGTGTAAGGCCTCTAAAGAACAGAGTCTGAACAGAGACAATTCCTGTGTTGAGAAGAATTAAAAAAAATGAAAGACTGATGGATAAATAATTCTTCCTGTTTCCTGTGATGAGATTATCAGATTATTCATTTCTTACCCAACATCCGGATAGAATCCGTCATCAGAACGGAAAATGTTTTCAATACAGCTGACCTAGGGCAACCAAACCAGTGGAAAGTAATAAGAGGAAATGACTGAATCAGCAGAAGTACATAATTAAGAATAGAGCATAGTACAAAATCATGTTATTTAGATATGTATATGTCAGGTTATAAAAGTGGAGGGATTCATTCAGTATCTCAGTATTGTGTTTTTGATTGTCATTTTAAAAATCTATTAATTAGTATTTTAGACAATGTCTTTAATTAATGGTTAGCTAAAAGGACGTCCCCTTTTACCACCTCCCTGTCATTTAAGTATCTGTGAGTGTCCTATTAATGCCAATCACAAGTGATGGACAGTAGAGATCAGACTTGCTATGTAATTTAACACAGTATCACTTTGGCATAAAAAGTAAAAAAAACGGAGCTGAAGCAGACAAGTGAACAAGCTACTAGGAAAAGAAGACTGTAAACTAAGTTAGATTTGGACTAAGCTCGTGCAAGTATGGCCAAAGGAAGGAAAGGTGGTGGTTACCGTGTGGAGAGAGAGATCCTGGATGAAGAGAGACTGGAGGAGCTGTCTCGGAGGCTGGACATCTCACAGACTCGCATTCCGTTCGCCTCTCGCCTGAAAAACTCACTCAGGTTAGACACTGCTGAGTGTTAGAGCGCACTAAAAAGGTGACATTTGATTCAAATGTACACCTTTTCCACATGAATATACAACATCAACAGTTTTGTCTTTCAATTTACTTACTTTTGCCAATAACTGCATTGATGTAGTTTCAGTGTGTGTGTGTCTGTGTGTGAACATCATTTGTCTGGGCAACGCAGTGGAGGTATGTGTGCTTATCAGCCACCATTAAGGTGAAGTTTCTCTCAATCCTGTCCTGTCTCTCCCTCTGTCAGGTGTTCTGTTCCCTCACTGAAGCGTAGGGTGGTGGGCTGTTTGCCTGTGCTGTACTGGTTGCCTCGTTATTCCATTTGGGACAATGGCATGCCTGACCTCGTCTCTGGGATCAGTGTGGGCATCATGCATCTGCCACAGGGTACAAACACACTGGAATTACTATTGAGGGCCGATCTTTATGGCATTATGGCAAAAAAAGCATATTGCAATACTTAAGACATTTTCATGATATGTATCACTGTATTTTGACACATGGACACAATGCATTAGTAGTGTCACATTTAAAAGCCATCAAAACGATGATTTTTCTTCAACATTTCACATAATGTACTGCATTAAATCTAATTAAACAGTACAAGTTATGTGCTCTTTTTAATGAAACATGCAATTGTTTAGTGTTCTTTACATACAGAATATATCCACAATATACTCAGAACAGCATTTTGTGTATCATGATAATAAAATCGATTAAAATAACAATTAAAAATAAAGATATTGCCCACTTCTAATACTAATACATAGGACTGAGTTGTGTCCTGTAACCTTACACTTTCGCTTAGGCCTCATATTGGTGTGTTGCATGTTTTGTAGGAATGGCCTATGCTTTGCTGGCTTCTCTGCCTCCAGTGTTTGGACTCTACACCTCCTTTTATCCTGCACTTGTTTATTTCTTCTTTGGCTCCTCCAGGCACATTTCTATAGGTAAGGAGATGAACATATGTCAATCAGGTAATTAAGTAAATACCACTGAAATTAGTTTGAATATAGCTTGAACAAAAGAGACTTGAGCCCATTTGCAATAAATTAGCAATAGTTAGAGTGAATATACTGTGCACACAGGCCAGAATACTAAAAAAGTAATGCACTGATTAAAATTTCAACACAATTATTGAAAGACAAATTTGTGAAGGCATTATGATTGTGTGTTTTCCTGCTTTGTTGAAATGAAAAACTGCAGCCACACTGGCCCTTTGTGGATAAGACAGGACACCCCAGCTGTAAACCTTAAGTTTTATAAATGTTCGTTGAGTGTACGATGGTCCAACAGAACTCCCTGTGTGTGTATGTGTGTGTATGCAGGCACATTTACAGTTCTCAGTATAATGGTGGGGAGTGTTACAGAGAGACTGGCCCCGGATACAGACTTCCTGATCATGAACGGCACTAATGTAACAGCAGAGGTGGACATCACTGCTAGAGATCAGTACAGAGTCCAGGTTGCTGCTGCCACTACTGTACTGGCAGGATTAATACAGGTCTGTACACATACAGATCAAACTAATGACATGGCAGGGAAAAATGGTTGAAAATGTTAGACCATATCTGTGAGTTTTGCATTTTACACAATGTGATGCCTTAAGTTACACATTAAACTGTAACAGCAGACATTTTTGTTTTTATAGCACAAAAAAGGAGATCTTAGAAAGGCACAACTTGCCCCACCACCTGGCAATAAAAATATTACATTTTATAATTTAATTGAGGCCTCTACTTATGTCTTAATGTTTCCAGTTAATTTTAATAAGCTATAACAAAAGACAAATGACAGTAAAATAGAAACACCTGAAACACAAAATTCCTTTTTGGGGAAACACTAATAACAGTAAAAAAACATTCAAAAGCAATAACATTCAATATTTAATCAGTAAATGCAAATTATTATTAGACCTGACAGGGCAGATCTGAGGCAACTTGCTGTAAAACTCATATACAAATACGTCAAATACATCTCCAGCAAACTGGCCAAAAATGTTGCCTAATTCCAATGCTGGCCAGTCAGTGAAAGTCTAGTGTACAATGTTGTGCCTTTAAGATCTAACTAAATAATATATTTGTGCCAATATGCTACAAATAAATTGCTCCTTGTCTGGGGCGACTTCTAGCCCGAAAGGTCTAACTTTATATTTTCACTTCAAGAGAAAACAATATTCCTCTCAAACCCAAATGTAATGTTCTCTCTACAACTCCATAATCATATATTTTTCTAGTACACATACTTTTCATGCACAACTTACTATAATCACATGGATCACTATTATCCAATGACAAAAAAAAAAAACAAAACTGAATTTATTAGATCACAGCCATTTAGTAAATGTGTTGATATTAGATTTGCCCCATCATTCAATCAGGAGAGAAAATAAAGGGGAGGGGGGCATATTAACCTGGAGACTTCTTCTCCCAAGTTATATGTTAACAGAACAAATGCAAGTTCTTAAAATTAAATATCATAAAATTAAAAAATAAATAAATTGAAATAAAATAAATAAATATATAATTAAATATGAAATTGATCTGCACATTGGGACTACACACAGTTTAATAACAGTATGGCTGACTACATTAGGAACATTTTCTTAAACCTGTCTATGCCCAAAACATAAGGGATTTAAAATGAAAATGCATCTTCTCTATCTGTCAGGTGATTCTGGGCTTGGTTCAGTTTGGCTTTGTGGGTACGTATCTGTCAGAGCCGTTAGTGAGAGGATATACCTCAGCAGCTGCTGCACACGCTGTGGTGGCACAGTTAAAGTACATCTTTGGAGTGTCTCCCACCCGCTTCAGTGGGCCGTTCTCCCTGGTGTATGTAAGTACTGGGACATTTAGTTCTTTATGGCAAAACAAATCTAATCAGTATTTCTGAGAATGGACCTTATACTCTTTATTGTATATACAGACACTGGTGGATGTGTGTACGCTCCTGCCCAGTACTCATCTGCCCACTCTTTTGGCCAGTGTGGTGTCCATCATAGTCCTTATCACTGCCAAAGAACTAAACAATAGGTTCAGCAAGAAACTTCCAGTACCCATACCGGTGGAGCTGATTGTTGTAAGTTACCTCCTTATCTATAACAAAAAGTCTTACTCTTCACACTACTGAATATGAATGCACTATTTTTCCAAAAGTTTCCAGACACCCGTTCTAATTAGTGAATTCAGCTACTTTAAGGTGCACCTATTGCTGACACATCTCCATAGAAAAGCACTGTCAATAGAATGAGACACTCTGGAGTAGCCACACTTGAGCCTAAGACCACCATGCTCAGTGCCAAGCTTTGGTTAGAGGGTATAAAGCCCCCAGCATGGGGCTGTAGAGCAGTGGAACTGTGTTCTCTGGAGTGATGGAGCTCCATCCAATGCCTTTGAGAGAGGACGAGAGTAGAGGCTGATGTTGCAGCAAACTCCTTATTAATACCCTTGATTTCAGAGTACGTTGGATGAGCAGGTGTCTCCAAAGTTTTGGACGTAAAGTATATTTCAATTGATGTTGTCTGTCTATCTATCTGTACATTGTATAGCAGGGAACATGACCATTTTATCTATAGCTCAGGCCATTAAGGTATGTGTTTGTTTACTTTAGATTGTGGTGGGAACATTAATATCATTCTACACTCATCTAAATGAGACCTTTGAGATTTCAGTAGTGGGGGAGATCCCCAGTGGGTGAGTTTTTATTTAATAATTGTAAATCTGTTCTTTATATTCTTTTAATTCAGCCACATCTGCGTGTATAAACATAAAATATTTAATTTTGTGGTGTGATTCTGATGAGTCCCTTTTTTGTTCACTCAGTCTTCAGCCCCCCACTTTGCCAAACACCAGTTTCTTTTCTGAGGTGGTGGTGGATGCCTTTGCCTTGGCGATTGTGGGCTATGCTATCTCTATCTCTTTGGGCAAAACATTTGCTCTCAAACATGGCTACAAAGTGGACAGCAATCAGGTGAGGCAGGAAACAACTGTTACAGGTGGGGGATTTCAATCAAAAAGCGTATTCTCACTGTTGCAACCTTATCTCTGAAATAGTAACCTTAAAGTAGAAAGTACACCATTTTCAAATGGTGTAAAGGAAGAGAAACAACGAAAAAAAATCAGGTTTAAGTGGTGGAAGAGGTCTTGGGGGGGGGGTCCTTGGTGGAGGATTGTACTATGAGGTTCCAGTAAATATACTGATAAATACTGTTTTAACAATATACAGGGCTCTCAGCTACTAAATTGTTCTGAAACATTGTGTACTCTTTGTAATGAACTAAATTACGTACAAAAATCATTTTAAATTCAGACTGTGTTCAGGTTTTCTTGGGATAATTAACAGACATTAGAAATTCGATCCTTCTAACTCTGAGTAAAATTTAATGGATTTCTCTGTTTTGTAGGAGCTGGTGGCTCTGGGGCTCAGTAATGCAGTTGGAGGATTTTTCCAGTGTTATTCTGTCTGTGCCTCAATGTCTCGTAGTCTCATACAGGAGACCACTGGAGGCAGAACACAGGCAAGACACACATGCAGAGAGAGAAAGAGAGAGAACGATAGCGAGAGATATGTAGAGAAAGTTACATACACTTCTTATACATCCAGGCTTATATTATGCTCCATTGTGTTGCTGTAGATGGCAGGTGTGGCATCAGCTGTGATAGTCTTGGTGACTGTGTTGAAGTTGGGCCCACTGTTTCAGGAACTGCCAAAGGTAAGACTGAATAATCCTTCATAAAGGTGCAGCCCAGAGTACACATTTATCATCTTATTTGAACGAACTGTATATACTTTGAAATGAACAACTCTATGTATGTGTGTCTGCAGGCGGTGCTTTCTGCCATTGTCTTTGTGAATCTGAAAGGGATGTTCAAGCAGTATGCTGACATTGCCACACTGTGGAGAAGCAGCAAGATTGATCTGGTAGGATGTCATTATATTTCTCCCAAATGCATATTCTTTTAGTGAGTCTTTAGGCAGTTTTGTATCTCTGTCATTGATTAACCCCTTGATCCCTAAGCTTATTATTCAGTTATTGTCTTAAAGCAATTGTTTAAAAACAAATTTACACACTTCTAATATTATCTGACGGTTACTTCTTGAATTTGCAATGAAGCAATGCTAGGCCACAGCAGCTAACAAACAATGGAAGCTTAAACCCCAGCAATTAGAATCATGCAAGCTGCATGCCTAAATCATCACACACTTGCGTCAAATTTAAGTAACCTCACATATTTGGACAGTTTATGACATATATAACATACTGTTATTACTGTGTCAATATTTGGCTGTACTATTGCTTTGCTTTGTTTGCTTACTTGCTTGCTTTAAGACGTCAGTAAGTACTATGAAACTTTAATTCCAATATGTTATATAGCTATGAGAGTGAGAAAGTGTTGGCCTCCATACAGGCTCTTGGGGTTTAAGGGGTTAATTAGCTTCTCTATAAATTTCAAATATTTATTTTGTCATTATCTAATTATATTTATTTCATCCATGTAGTTGGTGTGGTTGGTGACATGGGCGTCTACTGTCTTCTTTAATCTGGATATGGGTCTGGGAGCCTCCATTAGCTTTGCCCTGCTCACTGTTATCTTCAGAACACAGAGGTTAGACACATATCTCTTTTTCTTTATCAATCGAAGATCGCATGGTTTGATATAAAAATGGTATACTTCATAAACCCTGTTCTACACAATGTGCTGTTGTCTAAGTATTTTTAAATGACTACCCTCTCCTCCTCCTTAAAGGCCCAGGTACTCTGTGTTGGGGCATCTTCCTGGTACTGAGCTTTATTTGGACATGGAGACACATAAAGAGGTGAGGTACATTCCGCCAGTTTAAATTTTAGACTCATATGGAGTTTTTCATTTAAAATAAATTATGTTTGTGTATGATGTACTTGCTGTTTGGGTAAACTCCTATGGACATGTAGCTTGTTTTAATTAACAAACAACTGCTTTAGATTATAACAGGTCAAAACAAAGCTTTTCAGTAAATCCCAGAGAGCTTAATTATGTTTAAATGCTAAATAATATACTGTTATTAAAACTAATGAATGGAGTTATCTATGTGACAGGTCAGGGAGATACCAGGGATCACCATATTTCGCTCTTCAGCCACCATATACTTTGCTAATGCTGAACTCTACCTGGAAGCTCTCAAACAAAAGGTGCATATTTTTTCTCATACTCAGAAACTCATCTCATATACCTGTGCCACACTCTGTAATTCATGTGCCAAGTTTGTGATATGGATGTTGTTTTTCACTGTATTTTTGTTGACTGTGACTGCAGAGTGGCTTGGATATCACTAAGATGATCACTTACAAGCGCCGACAGGAAGCCAAGCAGAGAAAAAGAGAGAGGAGAGCAGCAAGAAGAGCGAGGAGAGAAGCAAAAAGACAGGTCAGTAACAAAAGATTTTCTGATGAAGGCCCCCGATATCTAAAATGTGCCCTATACTTACAAACATGACAAATACACTATAAACGGAGTTAAACATACAGTTAGCGGTTCTATTAGTGAATTTTTTGTAATGGCTGAGAGTCTCTGCTAACTCAAATGTAATGAATAAAACAGGTTTCAGGTGATCTTTCAATGTAATTTTAATGCAATATAAATGTACTAAAACTAAAAATGTACTAATAAATGAATAAATGTACAAAAAAATAACTTTGCACTCATTCTCTCTGTGTGAAGAAACAAGCTCTCAGAGCGGCCTCTCAGCGATCCAAAGGGGGCGTGTTCTCAGTTGAAGAAGAGGCGGGGCAGTTTAAAGAAAGGAGCGGAGACCTTGTCCAAGACGATGAACTAAGTTGGAAGGAGCGTGAAAACAGTACAGTTTTTGTTATGCCTGAGACACCACACAACAGCTGGGTGTACCTGAAGGGCACAGACCCTGAGACCACTACTTTAGGGTCGCTGTCAGATTTACAAGACGGGGACATCACCACTCTGGAGTCCAGCAGTGAGGACACCCTCAGCAGAGATCTGGAGAGAGTGTCTCTGGGATCACTGGGTAAATGGACGTGGGACATCCACTCCATCATCCTGGACCTTTCTCCAGCCAACTTCATTGATACAGTTGCAATAAAGACCCTGAGAAATGTGAGTGATGATTAGAAATGAAACCTTAATACTTCAGTACACATGTAGTTGACAGCAATACAAAACGTTTACTCTTTGTTGAAACAGATATTCCATGATTTTGGAGAAATTGATGTGGATATCTATGTGGCAGGCTGTCAAGGTATGTACAACTTCCATCTCAATCTCGATTGGTATGTTGGATATTTAAAGGGCTGCATAATTATTCTAATTTCCTTGTTTGATGTTTCATCTGCACATAAACATTTTGTGCTCAATGTACTGACTTGCATTTGCATTTGTTAATTCTGTGTGCTTTCACTCCAGCCCCGGTGGTGGAACAGCTGGAGCAAGGTGGATTCTTTTCTGACATCGGAAAAGAGCGTCTCTTCACTACAGTGCATGATGCAGTGCTGTACTGCCTCAACCACCGTGGTGCCGGAACTCTGCCAAACTACGAAACAACAGTGGTGAGCTTTACAGACTCAGATACAACATACACAACATATTCACATACACTGAGAGGCTATGTGTAACAGTAAAGTTTAAAATTACATGCAAAAGATCTGCAGGTTCTCATAGCCACTGCCACCAAATAATCCAAGTCACCAACTTGCAATAGACAGAATGTTTTGAGTCAAGGTTTCCAAACCACCTTAGTGCCAGGTAGAAATCTTTTTTGGGCGTTATTTATTGATTCTGTATGAATTTGTTGCTTGTAAGAACAAAGAAGAGTTAGAAAAACGAGGGGTTACAGCAACCCACACCTGAGCCAAGTAATCAAGTGCTAGAGCAAAGAGTATTTCAAGTAACAGCCTAGCTTTGACACTCCCCAAAGCATCATGGGTAGGAGGATAGAGCTAGGATCTGAACTCTAGTGGCCAAGACAACCTTAACATGTTTGCAAAACCGCTACACATTGGCAACAACTAAAACAGGAAAACACAAGATTGCTAAGTTGGGAGGGAGGAAATTGTAAATCTAGCAATAAAACTATAGCAAAGCTATACTTGTGCTAATACGCTGTGAACTTCACCAAACATCATGTCGTTAATATTGTAACTTCATGGAAGGAAGAAAAACTTTGGGTCATTTTGGGTCATTTCTGTTTCCCCATTGTCACGGAATGGTATATTCTAATGATGTAACGAGGTTTTGATCTCATGTTGTTAGTTTAAATGAATGCACAATATTATGTTTAATGTCTGAATTTGTCTTTGCAGGATATGAACAGCACCAAATTATGAGAAGGAGTGTCCTAACTACATCTGCTGCTGTCTGTTCCTGTCACACACATCCACTGCACATCCAGATTTCAGCAGTAACATATTAGTGAAACAACAGTAATATCTGATATATAGATAAATATACAGCAATAAATAACAAAATCTGGTACTGTCACTGTTTACTACATAGATATAAGTTTAGCAGCTCAGTACAACATAACATATGTGTGCCTTGTATTTACTTGAACACTGAAGCAAGGGGATCATAAATGGGGCTGGTCCCTGAATTTTGTGAATTGTGCAATCCATGTTCATGTGTATTTGGATTTGCTATTTGTATTATGGCAGGACGAGTGAAAATATATGAAAATACAATATAATCATTTTCATTTTTATTTTAAATTATTTTAGAGCACAGTTCCCAATAAATACTGACAATTACATATTTTCCACTTTATTTAAAAAACGTACCATCTTAGCATGTTTATAGATAAATCCCATTTTTTTTTATTTGTGACTTTGCATTCTGAGAACACTGCAACATTGTTACAATAAATAACATAAATAAAATAAATCTGTCTAAACAGCCATTAAACTTCTTTGGATGCAAGTAAAAAAAAAGGAAAATCTGACTAAAAATTATCAACACAAACAAGTTAAAAATAATCGCAACCCCAACAAAGAGTATGACTGTGCAAGGATCAGTTTAGACATGACAGATCACAGATCATATCAGTAGACAGTAGCGTTTGATGTAACATACACATCTCCGATAACAAGTCTACAGGAATAAACTAATGACTATTAAACCAAACTGAACTATAACCAGTTGATGCAGACGACATCTGTTTCCCTCAGAAGTGTTATAACGTATACATACGTTTATCAAAACTCTAGTGAACATTCTTTCACACTCCTTAGGAGGTATTGTAGTGCATAATTATGTAAACAAAGGTTATAAAATATGGCTGCATTCCCATAAATAAATAACGGTGCCTTCAGTACTCTACAAAGGGACGGAGAAACAAAAACATTGTCTTTCACAATTGCATAAATCTCAAGACTCTTGTCCCTGAATCCATCCTAACACATGTAATCAGTCTAGGTAAGGGTTAGGTAAAGCTTCACTCAGTCTTGAATGCGCACGCTGTATATGGGACCACAGGCTGTATGTATCGTGCAGGTCAAACAGTGCTTGTGTTATCCAAGTTTTTTTTTTTAATGTATCTCTAGATCTATGTTTACAACGTGTGTGTTTACAAGGTGCTAGTGTGTGTGTGTGTGTGTGTGTGTGTGTTGAGTGTTAGCTAAAGCAGATTTGGTTGGAAATCTAATTTTAGGTAGGACATGCTGCTAAAGACTAAATAACAGACTAAGAAAATGGGCTTAAGAAGAGACAACTCATACATGTGACCCTGGCTCCCCATCCAAATGCCTTAATGATAGCGCAAATGTCACTAAGGATTACTGTCCATTTTAGCCCACTTTTAGCCAACCCCTCCACTAACTTTGTGCTTCATGTCTTAGCAGAACACAACGCTGACATTCCCACATATCAGCATGACAACTGTAGGGTGTCTATATGTGACTGGTTCAACAGACATGATGGAACTCCTGGACACTATGACCAGCAATTTTACCAGACCCAATTACAGTAGGTGAAATGCTGAAACAGGCAAACATAAACTCTGAAATTACCTGACAGGATTGGGACTGTTGTTAAGGAAAGAGGATGTTTAACGTATTAGCAAAGAAATGATGCATGCAACTACTTTTTTGTCTGGTGAGCTTAAGTCAGCTCTGCCTTTGATTAATTCCAGTTACTGCAAAACAGCAATGTATTTTATAATAGGCTAAGAAGGGGTTCACACATGCACTTTTTAGCTGAAGGAGTCACCTCTTTTCTACAGTTTTCAATTGGAGAGGTTTTGTGTGCTGTTTTTGCACACTTGACTTTCACATTTTATACACCCTGCACTGCTGTCTGTTGTGTGCTGTGCTCCAGGCACACCAAGTGGAAAAAGTAGCCTACGTCATGAACATTTTTCTCTGCTGATCAACTGGATCAAAACAGTGAGAGCTGCATATTTTAAAGATCAAAATTAGCACAAAGCAGCTTTTTTATTTAGCTTGTTTTAGTAGGAGCACCACACTTCCTAGTTAACTATAAATCCCTTTCTAAAAGGGCATGTGACCGAGCTTTCTGTCTGTATATATCAAAACAACAGCCAGCTAGCACAGCTGTTTGACTGTTACAATGCTATAATTTCTTAGCAACAAGTAGACAAGCATCCAGACACAATGTTAAAAAAAGACTGCAGTGTGCCTCGTTTTCCACCTTCTGAAAAATACAGTGCGAACCCCTTCTAAGAGGACCTTTATGTGGTCCCTAACACACACCAACATTCTAAACTTGGTAGTTATCTTCATCTGTTCCAGAACAGGAACTGATAAACCAAATGAACCAGTGTGAGTGAACACTGCAGAACAGTGTAAATGGGGGGTGAACATTATAAAGCGATGTGAATGGAGGTGAACACTGAATAACAGGGTGAATAGAGGGTGAACATTGAATAATGGTGTGAATAGAGCATGAACACTGAATAACAGGGTGAATAGAGGGTAAACATTGAATAACGGTGTGAATAAAGGGTGAATATAAAACAAAACAGTGTAAACTGTGAGCTAATACTGAATAACAGTGTGAATTGAGGGTGAGCATTGTAGAACGATGTCAATGATGGGAGAATACTCTCCAACAGTGTGCACATAAACATTAACACATAGGACATTTTAGAGACGCAATAATCAAACACAGGTACAGCACACCAACCCAATGTTTGGGTTTGTTATTGGAGCATTTGGGTCATTGTGCTCAGGGCTTCGAACAGGCAGCTGACCTTAAACACTGCAGCTAAAATGTCAGGTAGGTGAAGTTAAGGTATGGTCTTTGTTTCAATACTTTTGCCAACATGCACTCGCTAATTTTGACTTACCACTCAGAAGTGCATCACACCTACGTTACACAAGGGGGGAAGTGGAGAAGGGGACAGCAAGGAGCGGATTTTTCAATCAGAATGTACTCGACCTCTGCTAGGTTAGCCTCAGTGATCTAATTAGCTAGCTATGCAAATTTTTGTAATGCAAATTTTTGTAATGCAAATAATTCCCTTGAGAAGTCTGAACATAACATGCATACATTTTGTGAATAATAACAGTAGTGTGATGCTTTTCTTTTCGTTCTTGCTAGCTGTGTAGCCTTTAGCTTGCTAACAAACAAGTCAGCAGACTGGCAGTCATATAACAGAGGGAGCTGTCTGAACATAAAAAGAGAGCACTGCAAATTGAATTTTATAGTTTTTAACTGTGAATGATTTCATATTTTATTGCTATGGCTTATAAAAAGCTTTGTTCTTTGAAAAAGTAATTGCATCATAGCCCAGGGCAAGTTCTCCAGCTAAAGTGACACTTATGTTCACTCGCCTCTTGAAGGGCAGACCTAGCTAACTTCACTTGAATTAATAAGGTAATGGAATGGATCTTAACATGGCATTGAGTATTTCTCAGAGGGGAAATGATGAGTCCAAGTTTAACAGGCGCATTTTAAAACGAGTACAGAAACAGACAGAATGTGTTTGAGTGCATATGTATGTCCAGTATCCAGCCAGGTTTGGTGATTTGACTGCTCTAGCACATCAACTAAACCTGGCAATTACCAAATGAGTTGAATAAGGTAAGCCTTTTCAGGAGAATCACCATGAAGCTGAAATGACTGGATTTGAACACCTCTGGTGTACATGTAATTAAGTGTGTAGTGTGTTTCTGTGTGCCAATAAACATGCATGTGTTTGCAGGTTATGGTTTGTGCCTGAGTGTGTATGTGCGTGTTCATGTTCTAACACTGTGTTTTTCTATGTGTGTGTGTATTTACAGGTCTTGGTGTGTGTCTGTATTCTGCTCTGGGTTTGTCTCTAGTTGCTGCTCCTGAGTCTCCTGCTGAGAGACGAGCTGCTGATAGCGGGTCTGTCGATGATAGTCGGGGTCTACGTTGATCCAATTGTTGGCCACCCATTTTGTTCCTCGAGTAACCACACAGCCTCCATGTAGGGAGTACTCATCTTGTTCACCCACCCAGCCTGCAGGGGAATAGAGCAGACGCACAAACAGAAACAAAGCTGGTACACAGATACAAAGTCTAATGAAGAACATACCTCAAAAGCAAGTACCTGAATACGTTGTTGCTGTTGGAACAAAACTTTGTATCCTCTTTTTTACATTTTTTTTAATAATTTGAAAACACCTGCTGCCGTTTACACTGTGTCAAAATGTCACTCTGAATGGACCAACAGAAAAAGTCCAAAATGATTTAAAATAAAATCTTGTTACATTAACTTACTTTGAAAGTTAAAAACATTTCCTTCTCTTGTAAAGTTTTTTTTTTTCTGGAGATACAAGGTTTTGATCAGACAGCAGCAATATACTGGACTAATTTAAATTTGGACACTAATCAATCTATGTTGAATCAGTCTATATTGAATTTACAGTGACCCCAAAAAATATTTGGACACCTGTGCCATATCTAAAATGTATTCAGTTTACTGTGTTAGGAAACAAAAAGTATTTTTCTCCATATGTTAAACATATTTAAGTTTGTTCCTTTAAGAGGATGTGTTAACTTCCTTTTACTTAGAAAATCAACAAAACATGTAATTTGACATGGGGTGTTCAAACTTTTATGTTTATGTTAAACATTTTATAAAGTAGCCTAAAGAACATGATTGTCCATCAAAAGTTAAATGGTTAAACGTGTCAAATATTCTTGGGGGCCAAATACTTTCTATGTAAATTTCAGAAAAATACAGGAAAACATTCTAAATATTTTATGTACCCATTATTAATTTTATTATCTATTACTAATTCTGTGCTATGTGAAAATGTAAACACCACTAAAAAATAGCTTATGTGAGAATTTATCAGAAAAGGTGAAATTTGCTTTTTTGTAGAGGGAGGGGAAAGCAAAGTTAACAGATAACAAATGTTAGTATAAGAAACCACCTGAGCAATACCCAGTACTGCTCCTGGACATTTTCCTATCCTACAGCATTTGATTTCAAGAAGAAGGAGCTGAATCTGCTAATTAAGGTGTCTAGTAGAATCTAAGATTGGATTATACTGGTCAGGAGGGCAGATCTACAGAAGAAAGGTTAGACATCTCTGACAACTAGTCTTTAGACTAGGAAAACAGTTCACTACAGCCACTATAAAAATCATTTTTTTCAGTACCTCTGCCATCAGAGAGGTAGTTGTACCAAAACACTGCTGTCCCCTTGATGGGCTTTACTCTTAGGTTGCCTTTATCACAGTGCTTCCTAGTGTCCAACAGATCCACATCATTTTGTATAAGTGACTGCAGAGCACACAAACATGAAGTTATTTTCAGACCAGTGCACTAATTCAGCAACAATAATCAACACAATCAAACAATTTTAGCCAGTAAGACTCACCACTTCCTCATAGGTCCTGTTGTCTGCCACAGGAAAAGTGGTTTCACCTCCTTCCTCTACATTATTCAGGTAGAACAGTACAGTGATATACCTGCAAATGCAATATAAAGCCCTCAAACAGAATATTCAAATATGTGAATATGTTTTGGGTGAATTGCAGGTATAAGGAAAATCTACTAATTCACTGAGGAGTGAATGCCTTAATAGACAGTCGATTAATCAGCACATGCATTAATGCTGACAGACAGCTCTGCAGTGGCTCACCTGCAGGACGTTTGGAAGGGTGAGGTGGTGTTGGCAGCAAGCCGAGTGTGTGTACAGGTTGTCTCAGGGTAGACCGGTCCACTGTCATGATGAGCATGGTAATGACCGCCTTGCTCGTAGCGCACTACTTGAAGAGGCTCACTCAACTCCACCAAAGAAGGTGGGAGCCTTGTTAAACGTATGACTCTACAAGAACAGAAAAAAAGAGATTCATAAAAAATTCTAATGGCTGCTACATTTTTTAGCTGTGCTATGTACCTTTTTTTCATTTTTAAAGATAACAGTATGTGATACAGTGTCAGACAACATGTTAGCAAATCTGTTTGAAATTACTTAACAGCTCGACAGGGTTCCCTCTCTTTTTAGAAAATTATTTTCCAGGACTTTTCCATAATTTTCCATGGCTCTGATATATGACATCTGTTGCTCATCCTAGAATGACTGTCATCTACCAGCATCCTTAACATTGAAGTCAACAATCCAACAATACAACTTAATTGTATTATGACCCATAGTGACCCTTTACTGACTGACTGAAACAGTGGCACATTCTTACCCTTATATTATTATTCATAATAATCCCATGAATATTGTTATATTATACAATATTATTTAATCCCCTTTACACTAGTTCTGCTTTCAAGGACTGTATTTAAACAATATAAGACCAATTTAATATTCATGTTTTACACCAAATTCCCAATCTGGTCAGAATTCTAAATATGCTGGCTTCTTGGCAATATCTCCTTTGCAAAATACATTTAGATAAAATAAAATAAATAACTGTATGTAGACTGACTTTGCTGGGTGAAAAGACAAACAGTGACTATCACTTCTCCTAAATCTTTTTTTCCCTCTGCTTTTAGGGAATGGCGCTTTTAGTGACATTAATAAAATTAATTAATTAATAAAAATAAATAAATAATAATAATTTTACACAGATTGTTACTGGACGTAGTATCCAACACATTTTACTATATGCATATTCAAATTTTTTTGGTATTCAGCGAATCCCTCATATGACAGTACAGCATTACAATTTTACATAAACAGGGCATCAACAGCTAAAATATGCCATCTCATTTGCTCAATAGCCCAACTACACACTTTTCCAGGACCTCACTAATTTCCAGCACTTTAGCAATCTTCTCATTTTCCAGGTTTTTCCAAGTTTTCCAGTATGTGAGGATCCCTGTGCATTAGCCTTGTAGCTTTAATGCAGAACTAAAGAAGCAACAAACACGATTGACTGATTGTGCTGATTGACCACATTTATAGTTAGTGGAATATTGTGTGAATTTGTTTTTTCACCAAACTTTTTCATTAAAGAAACGTTAGATAAATGGCCACTGGTGAATGGACAAGGTGACAGAGTCATACCTGTTGCGGAGGTCTCTAAGGACCTGGTGTGCTCCTTGTCCCTGATACAGCCATGTGTGCCTGCTGTTCCTCACCAACTGGCTCCTCTTTACACCACGCTGAAGAAGAAAACGCTGGAATGCATCATTGCTCAGCTGCCCAAATTCCTCCAAACTTAACAGGCCTGAAGAAAATACACACAGAAGAAGATAAATAACACCTTAAATTAAATATAAACACTAATTATACAGATTTGACTGGCCACAGTATACAAATAATTCTTTTTGATTGCGTTAATTTTACACTAAACTTCCTGCAAAGTATTGAACATCCATAACTTTGGTCATTACCATTCCCATCATGGTCAGCTTTGAGGCCAGCATAGATCTCCCTAAGATTCTCAGGAGTCAACCAGATTCCATCTCTCACTCGAGAATGTGTCAAAATCTGCAGCACGGGGGGAACAGCATGCATATTACATATCATATCAAAGGTAACAGAACAATATGCAACAATACACCTGGAGACAAACACAGGGGTGGCGCAGTAACAGAAATATAAAACACATGCACACCTATAGTGACGGGAAATAAGTATTCAGACAATTTTGTTTTTGTTATTTAAGAAACTTCCAGTGCATACTGGTCCACTTCAAATTCACACACGTAACGTCTTTTGCCTTTGTACTTACAAACATGAACAAAAAAGCATACATTAATAAGCATAAACAAAGATATGCATGTTTGTTTCTAAAATATTATATATAATATAAAATGAAAGTGCGCATATCTCGAAACGTTATAGGCCCACTGCATTCTCAGCGTGTGGCCACTGGCCAATCATACAAATGCCCCTGCCCTCAAACAAAATATAATAATAACAGCCAGCAAAGGTAAACTGTGAAGGCTAGCTAGACTGAGATGTAAAACCTCCAAAAAGCAAAAAGAGGAGGGGTGGGTACAAGATAAAAAAACAGAAAGTTACTTAAAAAAACAAAGAAATGAAAAAAATGAAAGTACACGATTTGTTTAGATATAAGAGCAGGGAACCTCAGGGCCAAAGTGCAGAAGGAACAAGTTAGTAAGTTCATTCAGTCTGCTCGTACTAAGGCTACAGACAACTAGCTTAATGTTAATGTACTGTCACACAATGGCAAATTATCTAACTAGCTAACTAGCAGTCACTCCAGTTCTCAGCCAACTACAGCATCTTTGACAAGTTTACATTTATGTGGGGGTTGTTGTATGTTTGTGTGTGTGTGTGTTACTGGAGGGGTTCACTGGGGTTGTATAGGGGTGGTCTGGACAAAAGCCCAAGGCTGCATTTAGTCCAGCCCTTTCAGACACTATATTAAACAAATATGTGAATAATATGTGTTAAAATTGAATTCTAGATATTCATGACGAACATAAAAATATAAATATTCTTGTGCTAATTGCACCTGGTGTCATTATAAAACGCATTGTTATTGGTTGGGAACATTGCAAGTATCAATCATGGTGAAGATGAAGGAGCTTCAAAGACAACATTATTATACAAATTACTCGAATGGAAAAAGCTACGGAGCCCTAGCAAAGACCTTAAACATCCCTGTCAGTCCATTTGTTTTGATAATACGAGGATGTTGAAATTGCAATGGACCCTCCTAACCTTGGGGAACTGAATACGGCTTGCCAGGAGGAATGGGCCAAAACTGAACACTGCAAAAAGCTAATTACTCCCTAACGTAGACATCTTGAAAGCTGTAATTGCCAACAACAGCTTTTGAACAGAGTACTAATGCTAGTAATTTGTGGTGTCTGAACAGTTTTTGCTCATCAATTTCGTTTTTCAAATATATATTTGTTTCTACATGTGAACACATACGATTTTTATATTTCATTTTTATAAGTACAAAGTCAAAAGCATTATGTGCATAACTTTGAAGTAGAAATATGCACTGGAAGTATATTAACAAAAACCAAAGTCCCTGATACTGATTAATCCTCACTGTATACACACACAGACCTCATGTGGCTGCAGCTGGCCATCCTGGTTGAGGTCAAGCAAATGGAAGATTTCTTCAGGGCTGAGGTTGAGTTGCTGGTTTAGCTCCTCCTGTCCCTCAGGCACCATTACCTGACTCTCCATCAGGCCCTTCAGCTGAGCCAGACGCACCACCACAGCACACTCCTCCTCTGAGAGGAAATGAGGGATTTCTGCACATGCACACACACACAAAACAACACCACCAACACAACATTCAGATCAATGACGTGTCTGTGTCAAACACAAAAAGAACGAACACTAGGACTCAGTGGACAGACATAAAACAAGCACAACTCATTACCAAAGAGCAGGGGCTTTAGACTGAGGGTCTTCATCTCATGCATCTTTCCTGGCACCAGAGAAACTTTTTGGACATGGCCCACCTAAGAAAGAGAAATCTCTTCATAAACTGTGTTATAAATTAGGGCTGGGCAATATACTATTTCATGCTGACACACTGTGATACTTCTCTTCAGTTTTGGCCAAAATTTATATAATAAATTATTTATTTGATCAATAATGAACACTAAAACAATGGTACAACGGCCATAAATGTTGACAAACAGTCTGTTTTCTTTTTTTTTTTTAATTTGTGTGCTTAAAGGCGAGCTCCACTGATTTATAAATGTTCTGCACAATTTTACAAATAACATATCAGCAAAATCATTCAGAGTGGTTTGGTGTGAAATGCTCCATTCTAGAGACACTTACAGAGTCAGAATTGTTCGCGGTGGTGGTGATAGGAACCAGATGTTCACCTCTTAAAGCTTCCTCCCAGGAAGTTATTACAAGAAGTGGTTTTAAATATACTCCCTGTTTTATGATAGTTTTGTGGTAAACTTTTGATCTAAATGTATTTCAATGTATTTATTTTAATCCATTCATGGTGGAGGGATACATGAAGGGTGATATAAGGCAAAACAGTCCTCGAAGAAAACTTATTTTTTCAGATTTTCCAATTTGAGGATCATCAGCATTATATATAAAAACTCATATGTACATATGTAGGTAGTAAATAAAATGGCTTTATTTGCATTGTAGACATCAGAACACCTGGTTCCTATCAGCCCCACTGTAAAGACATCTGAGACTGTGAGTTTACATCAAACCACTCTGAATGACTCTGCGTATATCTCAACCACTGAATTATGCAGACATTTTGAAAAATGAGTGGAATTCCCCTTTCACTCACAATATTTAGGACTTGACAGTTCACTATAATGTATATAATTTGCAGGGTGCTTCAGCCTGTTTTGAAAAAGGTGTCCTTTTTTGGAAAGCTACTTAGAAGTTAAAAAAACTGAACAAAAATTTTTTGTCAGGTTTGTAAGACATTCTTTCATAAAATACCTGTAATCAGGAAGCACAGGTTCGTTAACTTTATTAATGCTAACACGGATGACAACGTCATCTGATAAGGTGACAACATGATATTTTTGGAAAATATAATGATATTGAATTGGATCATTATCTCCCAGCCCTATATGAACTATCACTTTTTAATATTGCAGTGTGCCTTCTTATGCAATATATAAGGTGCGAATATCATCATCATCTAACCCGTATTCCTTCAATCCGAGGAAGGTGCATTCTTCGTGTAAATCCAGGGTCAGCAGGCTGCGGATCCAGTGGTTCTGCTACTTTGTGGCCGCTGCTCCTGCTGCTGAAGTCTCTGCTGGAGCTGCCCGCCTCCGACCCGCTGTTGTAATGCACGTACAGCAGCAGTGCAATAACATTGAGGACGTACACGTGGAAGAAGACCATGACGACCATAAAGTAGGACCGTGAACACACACTGCTTTTCTGCACCGGGATTCTCTCTCGGGGTAACGGCGGCGGAGCTGGTGATGGTGCGGAGTCATCGTTTGTATTTTCCTGAGGTTCCATCATTTTTCTGCTTATCGGCGGAGATACATTTAGTCACATTTAGTTGTTGTTTAGTTCAGCTACACGAGCGGATCCTGCGCGGAGCAGGTCTGTATCAGAGGCTCTCTCTCCGCCACAGCTGGTGGCTGCAGCTGCTGAAAGTTCACGCATGAAAACATACATACGTCACACAGCTAGCTGCTCAGCTAACCTACTAGAGCTAATGAAAGACAAGTCAAATAAATAAAAAGATATTAACCAAAGTTCGATACCAAGTCACATTCGTTTAAACTGTCCGTAGATTTACAGGAGTACTCTCGGCTTTAGGAACACTTGCGTACAGTTTCTCACAAGCTAGCTTGCTAACCTAAGCAAAAAAGCTCTGTACTCACAGCGCGTTCACAGGCGTCAACATTTACATTCTCATTTACGGTGCGGCGTAATTTTCAGTGCTCATAACTGAGAACATCCAGAAATCCGGACAGCTGCATCGCTTGATGACATTGTTAAAATTCGTCCTTTAAAACGTTTCGCTGTAAAGCAGTTTTATGAATCTGCTCAACTGTTTAGCTCTTTCACTCGCTCACAGCAACATCTCCCAGTGCCGCAGAGAGCACTTCGCAGGAGATAAGACGCCATTGCCCTGACAACTGCGGCATCTCGCTCCCGCTGACAGCAGGCTGACCTGAGGATGCGGGCGCCCTCTGCTGGCGGCCGCGCTCATCGACCGGCAAGCACACTGCACGGGCCAAGACTTTGAGTTTACAGGAATTTATTACATGAAGGAAAAGCCCCCAGCACGCCCACGCACTGATGTGTGTCTGTGCAGTACTCAGAATGATCCACCACCCATACAATACCTGTTCTGTGGTCGTCCTGTGGGGGTCCTGACCATTGAAGAACAGGGTGAAAGGGGAATAACAAAGTATGCAGAGAAACAGATGGAAGTACAAAGTGCACCTATTGTAAGTGGAACTGATAAAATGGACCAAGTGTGTAACATGGACTGCAAAGAGTGTGGTCAGTGTGTGTATGTTAGGTCCATAAATGTTTGGACATCAACAAAGTTTTTGTTATTTTGTCCAACACAGCATATTGTTGAGTTGAAATGAAATAATGAATATGAGCTTAAAGTGCAGACCTTCAGCCTTAATTTGAGTGTATTTACATCCAAATCGGGTGAATGGTGTAGGAATTACAAACATTTTCATTCAGTACCCCCCATTTTTAGGGGCTCAAAAGTAATTGGACAGACTAACATAATCATAAATTAAATTGTCCTTCTTAATACTCTGTTGCAAATCCTTTGCAGTCAATGACTGCTTGAAGTCTGGAACCCATAGACATCACAGATGCTGAGTTTCCTTCCTGGTGATGCTCTGTCAGACCTTACTTACTTACTTGTTCTTGGAGCATTTTACCTTCAGTTTCGCCTTCAGTAAATGAAATGCATGCTAATTGTATTGAGGTCAAGTGATTGACCATTGCAGAACATTCCTATTCTTTGCTTTACAAAAGTCTTGGGTTGCTTTCACAGTGTGCTTCAGGTCATTGTTTATTTGCAGAGTGAAGCTCCATTGATTTGGCTGAATCTGAGCAGATAATATAGCCATATACACTTCAGAATTCATCCTGCTGTTTTTGTCAGCATTAACATCAGTGAATACAAGGGAACCACTTCCACTGGCAGCCATACATGCCCATGCCATAACACTACCTCTAGATGAGGTGGCAATGCTTTGGGTCATGAGCTGTTCCTTCCCTTCTCCATACTCTTCCCATCATTCTTTTACAAGTTGATCTTTATCTCATATGTAAGATGTTGTATCAGAACTGTACAGGCTTTTATAGATGTTTTTTGGCAAACTTTAATTTGGTCACCCTGATTTTAGTTTACATCTTGTGCTAAACCGTCTGTATTTACTCTGGTTTTTAATTCTCTTGATTGTTGGTTTTAACACAGATAGTCTGACACCCTTGGAAGGTGGTCTTGATTTGGTCAGTTGTTGTGAAAGTTATTCTTTATTAGAGAAAGAATTCTTCTGTTGTCCACCGCTGTTGTTTTCCGTTGTCCTCTATACCTTCATGTTTCTGAGCTGACCAGGTTGTTTTTTCTTCTTAAGAATATACCAAATATTTGGTTGGGCCCACCTAATGTTTTTGCTGTCTCTCCAGTGGGTTTGTTTTGATTTTTCACCCTGATGATGGCTTCCTACACTGGCAGTGGACTCCATATTGAGAGTTGACAGCAACAGATTTCAAATGCAAAGGTCACACTTGAAATCATCTCTAGACCTTTAATCTGCTGACTAGTAAGTGAAATAATGAGTAGCACTCACATGGCCATTGAACAGCTAAACAGCCAGTTGTCCAGTTACTTTTGAGCCCCTAAAATGGGGGGGCAATGAATAAAATTTGTTGTACTTCCTACATTGTTCACCCAAATTGAATGTAAGTACTCTCAAATTAAAGCTGAAAGTCTGCACTTTGAGTTCATATTCATTATTTACTTTCAAGTCCAATATGTTGTGCTGGACATGTAAATTAACAAAATATTTTTGTCGACATCAAAATATTTATGGACATAACTTTATATACATACTTGTCTGTGTATAAATTGGTAAATGAATAAGGTATTTGAAAAAATCTATTGCTTTTAATGTTCATATATTGCTTGAATTAGACCAGTATTCAAACAGGAAACTTTACATAAAATATTTTTAGGATGAGTGCTGCTAGAGAAGTATGCTTTTTGTTACTGAATCATTGATTTTATTGTGATTGAACTATGAAATTTGTTTTTTGTTCTAGAGAGACACTAAAGCTCTGCTGTAGCCAATAGGAACTTATGCTATGCTTCATAACAGGCTGGTTTACTACGTTTTCTATTAAAATTTTTAACGTAATGTCTCTTTTAGTATTTTTTTTAAATTTACTTAGATCTAACTGGTTTGGAGGTTGCTTGACTTTAGAAAATGAGACTTTCACTTTTTCTACTAACTAAAAAAGGTGCAATCAAAGTGAGCTTACAGAGGGTCAAGCTGCCTTCTGTTCAAACTAGGTACAGGTTCTTCTAAAAATGGCCCTAAAACACAACTACATGATACCAACAAATTGAAGAATAGTGTTAGAATCCTGATGTGTTTCCCAATATGGATCTAAATTGATATCTGACTTTTTGTACCAGATGAGGTAGCAGTGCTGAAGCATAGATGGACACAACAAAGACAGATATCAGATCACAAGCTGTTTTATTAGAGGCAGGCCTACTCCAGAGTTTCAGTGAAAATTCTGCATTGCACTCATATTATATGAGATCTTGCTACTGTCACGTGATCACTTTACTCAGCTTCTTTTCCCTATGAAGAAAAAAAAAGAAAAGAAAAATATGTATTTAATTATTATATGTACATAATATATGTACATATGTTTTTTTTCTCTTTAAGCACACAAGGCCCATACCCTTCCAAGTTCACGGCTCTTGGCTCTGAGCTTGTTGACCTGCGACTCAGCAATGTCGGCTCTCTCCTGAGCCTCCTCCAGCTCATGCTGCACCTTCCTGTACCTGGACAGGTGAGTGTTCGCCTGCTCCTCCTGTAAACCGAATGGTGCAATGTAAGGTTTTTAATTGCAAAATATCTAATAACTACTTAGATACAACTTAACAATTAGTGTTATATTGTCCTTTAGTCATGTACTCCATTTTTGTAATAAAATATGGCAAACATGTTATGCTTTTTCAAATATATAAACCCTATCCTACCCTAACATGGGAGTAGATCTTTGGGAGGAGCAAAGCAAATCCTGATAATAAGCTGGAACATGTGCAGTCTCAAAAAGTCTGAAGATTACTCACAGACTCCTCAGCTTGTCTCTTGTAGGACTTCACTTTCAGCTGCAGTTTGTCCACCAGATCCTGCAGCCTGGTCACATTCTTCTTATCCTCTTCAGTCTGTGAAGAACAATGAAATCTTAGTAATACTTACATGTCTTTTTATGTATTCCACCAGGCCATTAAAGTGCTGTCTGCAAAAAGGTCATGAAAATAGCATTGGAAGGCTGTACTTTATAGTCTGTGGGTGTTTGCTGTAATGTTGCATTTCATAAACGATAATTTTGCTCTAATAGTCTGATGCTGAAATAATGTATAGCCTTTTACTTCTCAAGCCTGAAATTTACATTAACCTAACTTATCCATATTATTCATAATTGAATATCATAAGTTAAATGGGTTAAATAGGTCACATGTTGTGCAGTTAAGAAAAAGAGAGCTACAAATCTACACTTCCTGCATATGTACATGACTTCCTCCTCTCAGCTTAATTTAAACCACAAAGAGCTGTTTGGTGAACATTCGTAATAGTTGTATGGGTTGAGGCACAAATGGTCCCAATAATAGAAAAGAGGATAAGTGCTGATGTAGTACCTGGTAGGTGAGCTCTTTCACTCTCCTCTCATATTTGCGAACGCCTTTAATAGCTTCAGCAGCACGCCTCTGTTCACCTTCAACCTCACCCTCCAGCTCACGGACCTGAAACATGAGTCCATAGGTTTAAAATGGTTTACCTGATGTATAGAACAAATCACATGAGTACATGACCTCAAATGTGCATGACTGGTTTTATTGTGCACATTGATACATACTCTAGCCTCCAGTTTCTGAAGCTGTTTTTTTCCACCTTTCATGGCCAGATTCTCAGCCTCATCCAGGCGGTGCTGCAGGTCCTTGACTGTAACTTCCAGGTTCTTCTTCATCCTCTCCAGGTGAGCACTGGTGTCCTGCTCCTTCTTCAGTTCTTCTGCCATCATGGCAGCCTGTGATCAGTAATTTTTATTACATGATTAATGGCCTGTATACTAACACCCAGTGCAATGTAATAAACTTCATCAAATCTATTACAGTGTTTTACTCACATCAGTGATAGCTTTCTTGGCCTTGTCCTCAGCATTGCGTGCTTCCTGAATGGCGTCATCTACCTCACCTTGAATCTGCACAAGGTCAGCCTCCAACTTCTTCTTGGTGTTGATAAGGCTGGTATTCTAAACACAGTGGAAAATAATTAGGCCTTAATGCTCCACAGGTTAACTGTTAAAGTTGAAATTGGGTCATTTTGCTTACCTGAGAATGAAGCAGAGTCACTCGCTCACTGGCATCCACCAACTCCTGCTCGGCCATTTTGCGTCCTCTCTCGGTTTGCTCCAGAGCAGCTCTGAGCTCCTCAATCTCAGCCAGCATCAGGTTGTTCCTGCGCTCCACCATGGCCACCTGCTCCCTCATTTCCTCTTGTCCTCTTATAGCTTCATCAAGATGCAGTTGGGCATCCTGGAAAATGCATCAAGGTCATGTAAGTTTATTCTAACTTTTACTTTTTTCATAAGTTGTGAACAAACCTTAAGCTGTCCTTGGACATTTCTGAGCTGTTTCTGGGCTTCAGATGCCTGACGGTTTGCATGGCTCAACTGTATTTCCATCTCATTGAGATCACCCTCCATCTTCTTCTTGATTCTTAGAGCATCATTTCTGCTTCTGATTTCAGCATCCAGAGTGCTCTGCATTGAGTCAATCACCCTTTGGCTATTTCGCTTGATTTGCTCAATCTCCTCATCCTTCTCAGCCAACCTCCTGTCAATCTCACCCTTTACTTGGCTCAGCTCAAGCTGGATACGAACAATCTTGGACTCCTCGTGTTCCAGTGTGGCCTGAGACATGGAGTTGAAGAATTTCAAAAATGGCATTCACAGGATCAACATGTCATCTCAGAAACGCAAAGTCAGTAATATTTAAAATCTGTTTAGGTTTAACACACCTCAGCCTCCTCAAGAGCTGTCTGTATTTCTGTCTTCTCAATTTCCACTGTCTTCTTTCCTTTCTCCAGCTCATGAATTGTCTTTCCAGTCTCACCAAGTTGTTCAGTTAAATCTGAGATCTCCTCTGTATTAATAAGAACACACACAATCTAGGATGCTGAAAATATTCAGTGTTCCTTAACCCACCTGTTTACTTCTGATACCGTTATTTCACTGGGGGGTATGTGTTCTGACTTACGCTGAAGGTTTTTGTTCTCCCTCTTCAGAGTCTCTAGATGGTCTAGAGTTTCTTCATAGGAGTTCTTCATCTTGAAAAGCTCGGTGCTGAGAGAGCGAGCTTCTTTCTGGGCTCCTTCCAGCTCTGCTTGGCTCTCCTCAAATTTCTGCTTCCATTCTGCCAAGACCTTGAAGTAATCACAATTAAGAGTTCATATCTTTTGAACTATCAGTGCAAGTACACTCCTTACATAGAGTATATATTTTAGGTGCTTTTTATATACTTTTCATCAGTAGTTGAGGAAAGGGGGTGATATACAACTGCATTGTATGAACAATTATAAAACAAGTCATGTGCAGTAAATATGGTGTACCAGTGATTCATAGGTCAAGTTATTACCTTGTCAAAGTTCCTTTGCTTTTTGTCAAGGGTGGCCGCAAGTGCATTAGCCCTCTCCACATCAATCATGAGGTCCTCCACTTCACCGTGCAATCTCTGCTTGGTTTTTTCCAAGGAGGCACACTTGGCATTCACGGCTTCAATGGTCTCCTCAGCGTCCTGCAAGCGCTGGGCAAGCTTTTTCCTTAGAAATGCAACAACAGAGTGTTACTATTGTAATCCCTAATTACCTTATTTGATCAAAAAATGATATGAATGATTTACTTTGCTTCCTCCAGTTCCTCTGTACGCTGGATGGCATCAGTCTCATATTTGGTTCTCCACTGAGCTACCTCACTGTTTGCCTTAGACATTGAACGTTGGAGCTCAGATTTGGCTTCTTGTTCTTCTTCAAACTGCTCTCTGAGAAGGTCACAGTCATGACGTGCAGACTGCACAGCATGGGCCAGGGCATTCTTGGCCTTCAAATCAACAGCAGGTTTGCCATTAATGAGTGCAAGACAGTCATTTAAAATGATTGTCTTGTTATGCTTTTAAAATGCAACTTACCTTGACCTCTTCTTCAATGTGCCTTTTCAGCTCCTCAATCTGCTGAGTATAAGCTTGCTTGCTACGAGTCAGCTGAGAAACGAGGGCTTCTTTCTCTTCCAGCTGACGTCCCATTTCACCTAGAGCAGAAACGGCCAGAATGGCAACGATAAATATGGCAGTCTCTCACTCAGCATAATAGCTGAATATGAGATCACAGTATTCTTACGTATATTTTATTCTCCAATAAAATGTACAGTTGTTACGCTTTAATTAAATTATTTACCATTTTCAGTCTGAAGTCGTGCCTTATGGACACTAATGTCATTCAGATGGCGAAGCTGTTCCTCAGTCTTTGTCTTCAGCTCGCTCACCTGATCCTCCAGTGTACGGCACATCTTTTCAAGATGAGCCTGTCATGTTCAAAAAATAAATAAATGAATAATAAAATAAATAATATATTAAAAAGTAAAAACAATAGCTCATGATTTTGACGCATTGCCTTGCAGTGTGTATTTTTCAAATTTACCTTTGATTTTGCAACTGCCTCCATGTTGCTGGTCAGGTCATCAATCTCCATTTTGAATTCACTCTTCTCTTTCTCCAGCTTCTGTTTGACCCTCTGGAGGTTGTCAATCTGCTCTCCTAGCTCGGCCAAGGTGTCGGCCTGCTTCTTACGGAGAGCTGCAGCAGTGGCTTCATGCTGCAAGGTGGCCTCTTCAAGATCACGGCGCAGCTTTTGGAACTCAGACTCACGTTTCTTGTTCATCTCAATTTGGGCAGAAGTGGCACCGCCGGCTTCCTCAAGTCTCTCAGTGATCTCTTCCAGTTCTCTGGAGAGATCAGACCTCTGCTTTTCAACTTTGGCACGAGCAGCACGCTCAGCCTCAATCTCCTCTTCAAGCTCCTCAATACGAGCCTGCAATGGATAACTGATGCTGTAATGAGCTGCACTACATTAGCACTAACATATTATAATGCTTAGTAACAAAGCACTTAGAATAACCTGGAGTTCTTTAATCTTCTTTTGAAGCCCTAAACCAAGAGACTGCTCATCCTCAATTCTGCTAAGAAGTTGGCTTGTCTCAAAGTCTTTCCTGTTGGGAATAAGAGTGATTAGCTCAGAGATTAAATTTTTGAATAAAAGCCTCGTTCATTATTTTTATGCCATAATAATTAAACTCTCACTTCTTCAGCTTTTCCTCTGATTGCTGCTTGTCATTCTCCAAGTCCATCATGGATTCTTGGGCCAGCTTGAGGTCTCCCTCAAGCTTTCTCTTTGCTCTTTCGAGATCCATACGAAGCTTCTTCTCTTGTTCAAGTGAGGCCTCAAGCTATTGTGGACAGAATTGCAAATGGGGAAAAGCATCTACATTGTAACAGCATTTATCAACATCATAATAGGCATTAACTGCTCTTCTGGCAACTTACATCATCGACTTGCTGCTCAAGCTTAGCCTTGGCTTTAGTCAGAGAGTTGACTTTGTCTTCCTCTGCTTGGAGATCATCAAGAATCTGCTGATGTGCCTCTTGAAGAGCTTTCTTTTCCTTGGTCAGCTTGACAATGGCCTCATCTTGAGATGCCATCTCTTCAGTGAGGTTTTTGACCTGAGAAAGATAGTATTGTATAAACTTTGCAGACTTTTTTCATAAAGGATTATCAAACGAAAAAGGACCTTATCTATAAAACAGGGACCTTGTTCTCAGTAGCATGCTTCTCCTTTTCCACTTTAGCTAAGGTAAGCTCCAGATCATCAATGTCTTTCTTCAGCTCAGAACACTCATCCTCCAGTTTCCTTTTCTTGGCAGTTAACTCTGCATTGATTTCCTCTTCATCCTCCAGTCTCTCAGTTGCCTCCTTGACTTTGGCCTCAAGCTGGATCTTGCTTTTGATGAGCCCCTCACATCTCTCCTCAGCATCTGAGAGATTTTCTACTTCCTGTAATTGAAAATATTTTTAGATCTCTAAATCATTATATGACCAGCAACAACCATAGCTCTACATACTGTACTTTGTTTAAAGATGAGCTCAAAACTTACTGCAGCTACTTGTAACTGCAGGTCATTCTTTTCCTGCAGTAAAGTAACCATCTTTTCCTCAAGCTCCTTTTTCTTGGCCAGAGCCTTTGTTAGATCTTCTTTCATTTTCTCAAAGTTCTCTTTCATAGCAGCCATTTCCTTCTCAGTCTCTGCACTCTTCAGAAGAGGCTTGATCTTAAAATACAGCTTCATCCATGGCCAGTGTTTCACATTCATGAATGAGCGGATGTTATACTGAATGCTGAAGATTGATTCTCTGTTACAAAATTAGAGTGCCTTGGTCAGTACATATTTGTTGTTTTTGTTGTTGTCATACCAAGAAATTCGGCTTTTTGGTTCTACTATTGTTACACGGCAGACATTACCTCCTCTCCATCATCTTGACAAACTCTCTTCTCATAAGGAAACCTCTACACAGTGCCTGAGTCATGGTAACAAGGATGGCAAGCTTCTCATCTCGCATCTCCTCAAGAAGACCCAGAAGGCCAGCTTTGAAGAACACCTGTAAATAAATGTTTTTTTAAATCCATTTTTAGGATAAACACTATAGCAAACAATGCTTTGAATCAGCTTTATTACCATCTCTTACCTTGGTGTGTCCAAACTTGTACTGGGTATGATCCACGTCAATGGAACTTAGAAGCTTCTCTGAAGCTTTCTTGTTGTCAATGAACTGTCCCTCAGGGATAACACTGGCATTCAATACTTTGTATCTACAAGACAGGAAATTTGCTTTGCTTTGACCTCAAGTTGATGTACAGGTGTGCATATTCACTCTGTCTGAAGTAGATTATGGTTGAACATGGTATGGTTGAACAATCTACTGTGATGTTCTTAGTCAGCCGTAGACATTACAATTAGAATTCACATATACAGTTTATACAAATTACCTCTGCTTAAAGTCACCGTAGAGGATTCTGCTGGGGAAACCCTTTCTGCAGATTCTGATGCCCTCAAGTACACCATTACAGCGCAGTTGGTGGATGACCAGAGCATTCTCCATCAGGCCTAAGATTAAGATAAATGTGTCAATGGCAATATTATCAATCTGAAAGCTTATTAGAGCTCTTTGTGGATGAACTAATTATGCAGTAAATTGTTTCCAGAGGCTTTTTTGTTGATGTCGTTGTTTTCAGTCTGAACACCAGATGTTTATTTTCCTATATACAGAGAAAAAGTGGAGATAAAACTGACCTGGTGTCTTTGATTCATTTGGAATGATGCAACGCACAAAGTGAGGATGAGTGCTTCTCAAGTTGGTCATAAGCTTGCCCAAGTTCTCCTGTTGGATTACAGAATAACCAAATCAAAGGTCCTGGTATGCTTATTCAAAATCACTTATTCTTTCTTGTTTCAGATTCATACACAGAGAAGAATATCAATATTTTTACCCTGAACAAAGCAGACACGGTCTGGAAAGAGCCACCCTTCTTCTTCCCTTTTTTGCTACCTCCCTCAGCTGTTAATTGACAATGGCAGAAAAGTTTCTTTTATTCAGCAATGTTATAAGGCTAAACAATGTTGAAATTCACATTATGTACTCCTCTCCCCAGAAAAAGCATTGCAAAAGTACAACCAGGATTTCAGTTTGAGTGGTAAGTGTACTCATGGAATCTAAAGAGAATGAGCACTTTGCAAACAGGCTTTGATTTAACTGAGAGAAGGCAGGAAGCTAAACAGACTTAATCACTGCAATACTGAAAAGGTTCAGTTGCAACAAATTCACTTCCAAGCAAGTTTCTCCAAAATAAACATCAACAAACCTTCTGAAGATGCATGGGAAGCATATAGATTACTGAGCAGTTTGAGTGAAGACTTCTGGTAGAGCTGAACAGCAGAGTCATTCAAGGGGTCCTTGTTTTTATCCAACCAGCCGAAGATGTTGTAGTCTACCGTGCCAGCGTAGTGCACCAGGGAGAAGTGGGCCTCGGTCTTGCCTTTAGTAGGCTTTGGCTTCTGGAAGCATGCACTTTTACCCAGATGCTGATCATAGAGTTTGTTCTTGAAGGTAGTGTCTGTGGCTTTGGGGAACATGCACTCCTCTTCAAGGATGGAGAAAATACCCATTGGCTGTAGGTAAGAAAAAATTTTTATGGCAAAAGAACAGCTTTGTTTGGCCACTTAAAAGAAAACATGTACTAGATATGTACGACCTACCTTCTCAATAAGCTCAATGCAGGCAGCCAAGTCCATACCAAAGTCAATGAACTCCCACTGAATTCCTTCTTTCTTGTATTCCTCTTGCTCCAGGACAAACATGTGGTGGTTGAAAAACTGTTGCAGTTTCTCATTAGTGAAGTTGATGCACAGCTGTTCCAGGCTGTTGAACTATGATATAAAAACAGATTTTGAGCTATTCTCCAGAATAGGGCTTCACAGTAGGAAGATTTTCATCATCTTATCATCTAATTTACTTACATCAAAGATTTCAAACCCAGCAATATCCAGCACTCCGATAAAGAACTGCCTTGGCTGCTTGGTATCCAACATCTCATTGATACGGTAAACCATCCACAAGAACATTTTCTCATAGACTGATTTGCTCAGAGCCATGACTGCATTGTTGACCTTTTTGAAAGAGCAAGATAACCCTTTTAACTTGTGTTATGTGTGTAGTTGTACATCACCAGTGCCTTTAAGACGTTCTTATTACCTGTGGAACAGTTTGCCCTTTGGTCACATACTCGTTCCCAACCTTGACTCTGGGGTAGCACAAAGCTTTCAGCATGTCAGCTGAGTTCAGGCCCATGAGGTAAGCGATTTTATCAGCCACTGAGGAAGTAAGGTAAAAATTTTAACATCTCATTGAAAGCAGATGTTTAAGTCATGCTAGAATATCACTGACACAACTCCACAGCAAGAGATCTGCTTTTATAAACTAAGAAAGATGTTCAATTTCATTCACACAGCCAGGCCCACAACAATTCAGTGTATCGGTGTACAGCAATAAAGGTGCCTTACTGCTATGAGTCACTTTAGCCTGATTTCAGTTAGCCTTAAAATTATGCTCACCCTCAGTGCCATCAGGCTCAGCCTGCTCCTCCCTCTGCTTCTGTTTGAACTTCATGTTTCCATGATGCATCACAGCTCCTGTCAGCTTGTAGATGCTCATCTTCTCCTCAGCAGTGAAGCCCAAGATGTCAATAGCTGTCTGAATAATGAAAGAAAACCTAAAGTCAACCTGATGTCAAAATTAAACTTCCTTTTTACCTTGTAAGTTGAAGTCTCTGGTCATATTAAGCATGATTCACCATGTCATATCACTTAAAAAGCACGAAAGTGTAGAGACTTTTCCTAGATTCTAAAACATCTCGCAATAGAGGGCAGGGAAAAATAATATATTAACCAATAATATCATGTTTGACCTACTATTACCACATCCCCGCACTTATCATCAAGCGAAACACCCACGCTAGCTCAGAGACCCTTACTGATTGTCTTTGAACCTGTACAGTCACATGCAAAAATTGGCCAAATGACATGTTTCATTTCCTTTCTAAGTGAAAACAAGTTAACACATGTTCCACAAGGAAAAAAAATTTTTCTTCAAATTTGAATGCATAATTTCTAACACGCTGGAAAAAAATATAAAACTTTCGCAAAGGCGACATTTTATGTTTTATTTTTTTCCCTAATATGTTAAATTAAGCAAATAAACAGTGACTGTGGATTAAAATATGTAGAAGTGTGTTCTCTGTAGAGGATGTGTTAATTTATATTCACTTAGAAAATCAACAGAACCTGGAATTTGGGGCACCCAAACAGACACGTGCCTTCAAATATGTGCCATGTAAGACTCAGGAGGTAGAATTGGCCACATGTAAAGATCAATATTAATTAATTTTAATTAATATGAGAATGACATTCACATAAAAATATGAGAAACAAAACTGGTTAACAGCAGAAACAAGGGCTGATGAATTAAACCTATACAAAACTGTTCTTACATCTGTAGCAATGAACTCTTCAACGTCATTGATGCTCTTGACAGTGATCTCGCCCTGACTGATCAATGGGTAGTCATATGGGTTGGTGGTGATCAGGAGAGCCTCTGCAGAAACAAAGAACAACATCATGAAACATGAAGAAAATATATATATATATATATATATATATATATATATATATATATATTATTTATAATCATGGACTTCAGTTAAGTTTGTGTTTATTACCTAGCAGTTCAGGCTTGTGGCCAGTTGTGACCTGATAGAAAATGTGGTAGCTCCTCTCAGCTGATAGCTGGAAAGTTACCCTTGACTTTTCCAGCAGATCTATAAAATAATTCATGAGGATCATGACGTCTATACAGTTAAGAGAAATTTATACTTTTATATTAAGTAATACTTGCTTATCATAATACTTATATCAATATACTGTTAAAAAGATTTCAACTCACAAGTTTCAATATCAGCTGAGGCCAGCTTTCCTGTGGACCCAAAATGGATTCTGATGAATTTACCCTGAAATGGTAAAAGGATTTACATGAAATCAGAGGATTAATGTAACAGTTAACATTTTTAAAAAGCTTTTTTTTCTATCAGTGAGTGAATATGTCAGGAAAAGAAATCTTACAAAGCGAGAGGAGTTGTCGTTCCTCACAGTTTTGGCATTACCATAAGCCTCTAGCAGAGGGTTGGCTGCAATGATTTGATCCTCCAGCGACCCCTGCAGATTACGCCATGTATAACTGAATCAGCATTCCACAGTGTAGTCAATGAGAGCAGAAGCAGCAACAGCAGGGACTCTTTCACTAACCTGCATTTTTCCAGGAACATGTTCTACCTTCTTCTGTCCAGACACTGCGATTGTCGCAAAGTACTGGATGACACGCTTGGTGTTCACGGTCTTTCCTGCACCAGATTCTCCGCTGGAGTTAAAAGCAGAGCTTAGAATTTACAGCTGCCTGCTACAAGTTCCTCTGTAGCAATTCTGTACTTTGCTTCAGTTAACAACTCTTTGGGATCTGAAACCTGCATATGGTCTGCCACTTCTTGGAAATGTCCTTCTGGTGTGGAAATCACTAGTAGGAATCACTTTAACCTGTTTACTTAGTTTGCTATAATGCTAAAAACGCTACTATATGCTTCTCTAAACATAAAAACTCCTGAATAGCTGTTTCTAGTACATTTACACTTGTATATTATAAGTTGTATTCTGTGAAAGTATGTTTTACAAAGTTTATTTAATTTATTGTTATTGTATAAGTATGATAGTGCTTAAAATAAAGTATGATGTAAAGATGATGCTCCTGATCTAGGTTTAAATCATATAGCTCCTTACTAACTACACACAATTTACAATTTCACAAATATAAGAGAACAAAGTCAGATTTTAGCTGGACCCAGCCTTTCAAGACTTACGTGATCAGGATTGACTGGTTCTCACGGTCTGAAATAAAAGGTAAAATACAATGGAAATTACATAGACTAAACACACATGCAAGTGTTAATGTTTACTCTCTTGAAAACTACATACCAGTTAGCATGAACTGATAGGCATTATCAGAGATGGAGAAGATGTGGGGTGGGGCCTCGATTCTCTTTTTGCCCCTGTAACCTGCTACAACTGTAGTATCATACACTGGGAGCCTCTTATAGGGGTTCACAGTGACACAGAAGAGCCCAGAGTAGGTCTGCAAATGCAGAAAACAATTTTCTTGTGAAACATGAAATATTTAATCTCTGAATATGTTTAGTACAATACCACAATTAGTGTAAAACTCTTAATAATCTACAAACTCACATAGATCATCCATGCTGCATAACGCTCTTTGAGGTTGTACAGCACAGCAGGCTCATTGAGGTGGGTCATCATGGCCATGTCCTCAATCTTATCAAACTTAGGAGGATTCATAGGATAGATGTCATCCTCCTTCACTGTCAAGACCTGTAGGGAAATAAATAATACTACATTTGAATCATTTAATATAAATAAGTTAAATATTGCAGAACCTTACTGACACAGTCAGCCACAGAAAGTACTCACTTTGCCACTCAGAGTTTTGACGGTTGCTTTGCCCCCCTCTCTGCTCTGGAGGACCCCTTTGAGGTACATCTCAGTTGGCTCATACACAAAGTAAGCGGTTTTGGCATCAAACGGTAAGTTTTGCGCCTCAATCCTCTCTCGCTCTGGCTTTCGGAGGTATACGGCCGCCGAGCCAAAGCACTCCATTTCCGGATCCGTACTCATGGTGACGGCTTACTGAAAAGATTATGAACATTACTTTTATTACACGTTTATTTTTTAAAACGAAAAGCTTCATTGGAAATGGCACCGACACAGATAGGAAAATTTAATGGTTGGTGTAGTGGAGTGGGTGATGCTGCTGCCCTCCATGCAGCAGTCTGCGGATTGATTCCCTGCTCAGGCAACCACACCACCCTACACTACACCAGTAAGAGTGCTTGCGGTTTTTAGAAAGAGAGAACTGAAGACAACCCATTATCAGTATGAGTAGAAGTAAAATTATTCAGCCTGTATTCACAAACCTTCTCAGAGTAGAAGTCCTGATCTAGGACGCGTCCCTATCAGTTGAGTTATTATTAGTTAATAAGACAAGAATCTGATTCTTTGCTCTGTAGCCAAATATTAGATACAGCCCTAGGAATTTAATGAATTTAGGTTATGGCTGTAGTACTGTGTTTCTATACAGAATAGAACTGTATCATATCGGAAAAAAACCTTGTATCTCCAAAATGGTAACTTTACAGAAGGTAAGTAATTTTGGGCCATTTCTTTTGGTCTGCGCATCATAAAATTTGCACACAATATAAAGGGCAACAGGTGTCAGAAACATTCTGACCACAGTCTAAGACAGCCTAGCGCAAACCTCAGGTCTGACACTTTCAGCTCATAATTTGCTAATGCTTGGGATCTTGGCACAAGAGCTCTGTGACTTTCTATAATTGCATGGTCTTGCATTTTTCTGAATGCAGTTGGATTTACCTTTGTGTGATGCCGCTCCAGAAGGTCCAGGTGTTTTTAGTGGCTGCCTTGTGGTACTGTTAAAGACAACATACTTTGTACATCATGCCATCAACTGCAATTTTATTTCTATGCTATATTTTGTCATGTTGTTATGAATGTTTCATTTTTTTTTTAATTATTTATTACAATATATGTATAATCTGAAGAGATATAGAGATTTAGATTAGAAAATATAAACAAAGCAACGATCTGTTAAGGCCACAAAGATCCATGAGATCACTCACCTTAGCTGGGTGCGTGCGAGTCCTAGGAGGAGTCTTCGGTCAGTTCTTATATAGCGCTTTAAGTGTGCCATCAGCCTGCCCCAGCCACTCCATTTGGTCATGAATTTTTACCTCGTTTGCCCACTAATGTTTGCCCTCCTAATGCCCTGCTTACGATCACACAGTGAATTATTTTTATCCCATGACAAACTAAGGCCATCTTATGAGCGCTGAGCTGTTGTTTTAGCTTAGAATGACCATGTTTCATCCAAAAAGGGATGACAAAGGTCTATTGTAATTGTGAATGAAACTGCACCTAGTAGCTCAGAAATTAATTAATTGGCAGAGCAAGGCAAGAAACCAATACATGAGATTTATAACCTAAGATTGTCTATAATCGACAGGCACAGCAACTCTTTAAAACTAAAGGGAACAGATGCTTTGTTTTGACTTGTTTGTTATGGCCATAACTGAAGGATCAGTATGGAAGTAAAACACAAGGTCAGATAATTTCAGGGCCCCAGGTAGTTGTTAATCTTTCTTTTGTATGTCCTCTGGCACTGCGAGGCTCCCTGTTATCACCAAGAAGAAGGCACCAAATGTCAGTAGTATAGGGTTGCAAGAGCCACGCAAGTTTAACGTGTTATAAAGAAATAAAATTGGTACACTTTCATTCCACAAGCTGTAAGAAACGCCAGAGGCTGCCAAGGGATTATGCTCTGCAACAGGAAAGACAGCTGAAGTTCCTCAAGCCTCTCCTGGGGGCTCAAACAGTGACAAAGTCCAAGATGTCAACAGCCCCACTTGAGTCATTGTGTGCTTATAGCCATGTGTCTCATCAGTCTGAGAGAGTGAGTGGCAAAATCTGTGTTTACTCGCTTTCAGAGTGTCTATTTTCATCTATAATTTACATACTTGACCCAAGTAAGATCTTCAGAAATAGGAACGGATATGCATAGGTTTTGTACAGGCATTTATTTTGTCAGCTTCTTAGTGGACAAGGAACTAAAGCAGCTGTGAGATTAAACAGATCCAATCCCCTGCTAAACAAAAAGGATGCTGCTTTACGAGAGGGCAGATCAGCAGAGGGTTTAGCTTGGAGAGTGATATGCCACCCATGCTTGATGATTTAAAAGCAGGCTTTGTCAGCCAGTTGGTCAGTCTTTCCACAGGAAACGTGATCCCATTCTGGCAATGATGGGAAAGCCTAAGAAATTCTGAAGCAGTTACTCCGGAGATATAATGGGCTTGTGTTTTGAATAAAAATGTGAAATTCGATAGCTCACCCATAAGAGTATATTCTTATTTGGACAAAATACAAATATAGACCTCTGTACAGACTACTTTGCCAAATGTCAACATGCCGGGGAGGCTTATTGTGTTAATGAAACTTTGAAGTCTCCCTGCATTGCATTTCAAAAACAAACCCAGTGTCTATCAAGCGCCTGCAAGTGTGCACTGTTGAAGATCGCTGCAGGTTTCACAATACAGTAAGTATGGGAGAGTGATTTTAGAGCAGAACTGGGGAGATGGGAAGAATTTTGCTCTTTGTATTTGTTTTGACTGATTCTTTTTAAAAATTGTTTACCTGAGAAAGCCACAAAGTCTCCACAGTACAGGAGTTCAAGGAACCTCTCAGGTGCATCTAAATCCACAGTCTTCGTTCTATGACAATAGTAGCTAGTAACTTTTTAGATTAAAGTTCATTGTGTAAGTGTAAGCGCTCTATAGTTACCACAAATAATTGTGATGTTTTAAATATTTTTTGGTGGAAAGCAATGGAAACTAAAACTAATGACCAGCTTTTTTTGATTATACTGAATTTTTACAGTCCATTCAAAGCATGCAGCGATATGTTTATTAGACCCATGTAATGATATAATGGTTCTCAATATAGCTCAGTAATGTTCTATATTAGTGCATTTTTCATAAGTTTTTATAATGCAATTTATAGCTAGTAGTTTACAATATAAAAAAGAAAGGGAGGCTACAAACAGAAGAGTGTAGGAAAACACACCCACATAAAAGAGGTCAGGACAGGAGGTCATGGTCAGAAAACGTGAACATGTAGTCCCCTTGAACAATTAATTTAACCTACATCAAATTTTGCATGCAGCATTAATCACTCCATGAATGTTATACTGTAGGGTCAATATGGCCTTCAATCACCAGTCTAATTTTGTTTGACCTTTGCTCACTTTACTACATGCAGATTTTAATGGAATATGCCCCCCAGATGACTCCACAGCAATTCAGTTGCACAACATTTAGCATAACAAAATATTACAGACAAGCTTCTGTATTATATTGCCAAAAATAAGTCATTTTATTTTTGCACCACAAAGGATTTGAAGAGCACTGCATATAATAAACATATTTTGTCTGATGAAAATGATTTGACAGTCATTCAAGCAGAACTGGGTATACATCTATGTTTGTATTTCCTCAGGAAGCACACGGAATTGCCAGATTTGTTTGAAGGAAAGTGAATATTGTTTTTGTCTAGAAAATCTAAACAAGACACACCTGGCAAATCTCAGCAATCACTGTGCTTCTTACATCTACTGCCTAATAACTATGTGAAACATCTTTGCTTAATTGTTACTAGTTTAAATCGCTTTAAAAGCACATTAACTGTGCACCTTGAGGAGGCCAGAAGGAGATTCTCATGTTGTGAAATATACATACTACCAAATATATCTTTATTAGAATTACAATTTTTTGACAGTCTGTGAATATGATATAAACATTCACATTTTCAAAGCCTGATGGATGTCAAAATATTATCACTGCAGCAACACATGCTCCTAAAGAGATACTAATGAAAAATTTAACCTTTGCTACATCTTGGTGTAAACATGTCCACTCATGTCCTACAGCCATGCCACAGTAGTCTCTAGGAAACTAGGAGACTAGGAAACCCCCCTTCTGATGATGCCTTGAAGCTAGGAGAAACTTTAAAAAAAAACTACAACTGCTTTATGGTTTATTTTTTTAGAGTGGGGTGTTTTCTACTTTTTCCCATTAGCTGGTGACTGCAGAAGACATGCAGATAGCTGTTACTGCTAGGAAGCTGAATATCTCAGTGCAGCATATAACTAAAGTAACTGTCATCAAATCATTGTTACAATAGAGATAAGGGGTTACCCAGGTGACAGAAATGACTCATCAGATAAGAAGGATAAAAAGCTAAAAAAAGCTAAAGTTAGCATGGTACCTAACATAGCTATGTAGATACATTAACTTACTTTGGCTTCTTTTCTCTGGATAAAAGGGCAAAAACTGGTGTCCATTTTCTAATAAAGATTGAATCCCTATTTTCTTTCTGATTTTGTTCAATGACCAGTGTAGCAGTCACACTAATGCTAGCTTGGTTGTATTTACTAGCGTATAAATCAGTGGCTATGCGAGCGATCAGGATTTGGTCACACTACAAGGATGGCTGTATGATGCATAATTTAGTTTTATCATAGTAAAATGCATAACTTAGTGCTGTTGTAGTTGGTCTAAAAATAGCAAAAGTATGCCTTATGTCTTGGTTTTCTTACAACAATAAATGCTTACATTTTAAGTTACTGGAGTGATAGGGAAGGCAGAGCAAAAATGCATACTGTATGAGTGCTTGTTACCGTCATTTATCCATGACATTTTTTCAAAATAACACAATAAATAGAAAACCTTTTAGCATTTCCAAGGTTCTGTTTTATAAATTATAAACTAACTACATGAACATTTTCATGATATCTTTATCTCCACTGCTAATCCAGTGCTACTTATAAGATTACATGAAAAAATACTAATATTAGAACTGTTGAAAGGCTAGAGGGGCCAATTAGCGTTTGGCATTAGCGAGATCATGTTAACTGACCCAGACAGCAAACACTATATTCAATGACAGTTATGTTAGCATTATGGGTGAGACATTCTTTATATTTAAACAGCTCCCTTGTTCATCATTTGTGTTTCTTCAGTTGGACAGTATTCAATTATTTATGTATTTATATAAGGTATTTATAGGTTTTAATTTGTTCTCAACAAGAAAAAATTACAAATTAAAAAAGGGAGCTCTAAGAATATGATCTACCAACTCTTGTCTTACACAAATCTGTGCCTGAAGCCCAGTCTTAAATACATCAGCACTTAATTTGCAATGGTAAGTGCTGAGATCAACTTATGTGCGGAGAAAAGTATCTCACTGGTTAACACCTGCTGATGTCTTTTGACACTGGGACCGCCTGCTGGTGTCACAGAATCCCCGTCATGGGGATTCCACTATGAAACTTTGCAGCTCTGCCCTAGTGAGATGCATCCATCTGTACTTGCAGAGCCAAAAGCAGTTCTAGACCAGCGGTTTTAGGGCATGATGGATGATGGGGCTTTAGACATTCACCCACTAATGTCTTGTATATACATCACTTCTTGTGCTAGTTTAACATTTAGCTAGCTAGTGTTGTGTTAGCATAATACTTAAGTAGCTAGCTAGCTAGCAAGGATAACTTTTATCTGTGGGCCAACTTCTACTTAACATACACATTACCCATTCTAACCATGAGTTTGCAAAAGCACTAAAATAGACTCAGCACATACATATATGTTGCTCTCAGCTTATTACAGCTAGAAAGGTTCAAAGAGAGGTGGGCATTAAGGTAGGTTTTCCCACTCTGTGTGCACTGTGTGAGGCACTGAGGCCTAATCTGAATTAGGAGCCTGGGGATTTAATTAAGTAACCATATTTTCTATTTACATAGCATAAAAGCTACCCAACAGAAATCATCTGTCAACATATTAGTTCTTGTTATTATCAAAATGGGAAAAAAATTATATTAAGGGGCCAGATTTTGTCTTTGTCTTTTTAACAATGACAAAATGCAGGTGTTTTATCTGTATAGATTGTTTGTTGTTCTATTATATATTTATTTTTTTAAACACACCTCAGTTCCAAAAAAGTTGGGATAGTGTGTGAAATGCAAATAAAAACAGAAAGCAGTGATTAGTAAATTCTATTTTGAATTTGGTCTGGACAGTACAAAACTATTTTTTGTTTTATCTTATGAATCTTATTGTTTTCTTTTTGTAAATGTACGTCCATTATAAATTTGCAACCTGCAATATGTTTCAAAAAAGTTGGACAAGGAGTACATTTACTACTGTATCACCTTTCCTTTTACAACACTTAATAACTGTTCGGGGACTGAAGACACCAATTGACCCAGTTTTGATTACTGGAGTCTTCAGCTACACAACCATACATTTCAAAAGGGAGACAGTTCTAGACAGCAGGCAGGCCAGTCTCGCACATGTACTTTTTAATCATGTAGCCATGCAGCTAGACCATGTGCAGAATGTGCAGCTTGCCATTGTCATGTTAAAATAAGCAGGGATGTTCCTGAAAGACCTTGACTAGAAGGCAGCATATGTTACTCCAAGATGTGTATATATAATTTTCATTCACAGATGTGTAAGTTACTCATGTCATGTGCACTAATACACCCCTACACTACGACAGACCCTAGCTTTTGAGTTTTACACTGGTAAAATACCTTGGTGTTTCTTTTCTTCTTTGGCCTGGAGAACATGGCATCCATTATCTCTATAAATAATCTGAAAGGTTGACTCGTCAGGCCACAATACATCTTTCCACTGCACATCAGTCCATTTCAAATGAGCTCAAGCCCAGAGAAGTCAGCAGCATTTCTAGACATTGTTCATATGTCTTCTGCTGTGCACAGTATAGTCTTAACTTGCATTTGTGGATGCAGCAACACTTTCATCTGTTTTTTTTGTTTGTTTGTTTTTTACCAGATTGTATTAACCAATCCTAGCCCAGGAGGGAGAATTCAACATTCAACTAGTTCATCAGATAGCAGAATGGATAATTCAGCTAGCTAATCAGAGCACAGAAAGGAAAATTCAACTAGCCAATCAGAGCACAGGAGGTAAAATTAAATTAGCTAATCAGATTTCAGAGGGAATATTCAACTAGCCTCAAATTTCTCATCTTCCGCTTGTCCTGGTGAGAGCCTAATAAACACTATGGGCAAAAGTATTGGGACACAGCTCTTAATCATTGAATTCAAGTGTTTCATTCAGGGCAATCGCCACACGTGTGTAAAATCAAGCACCTAGCCACACAATCTGCCTTTACAAACATTTGTGAAAGAATGGGTCGTTCTAAAGAGCTCACTGAATTTGAACGTGGGACTGTAATAGGATGCCACCACTGCAACAAGTCAGTTCGAGAAATTTCTTCCCTCCTAGCTATTCCACGATTACCTGTGAATGGTATTAATGAAAAAAGGAAGCATTTAGGAGCCACAGCAACTCAGCCACAAAGTGGCAGACCACGTAAAGTTACAGAGCGGGGTCGCTGAGTGCTGAGGAGCATAGTGCATAACAGAATGTCAGGAGAACATTACCTGCCTGACTGCATTGCGCCAATTGTAAAGTTTGGTGGAGGAGGGATAATGCTATGAGGTTGTTTTTCAGGGGTTGGCCTAGGACCCTTAGTTCCAGTGAAGGGAAATCTTAATGCTTTAGCATACCAAGACATCTTGGACAATTGTATGGTTCCAACTTTGTGGGAACAGTTTAGGGAAGGCCTGTTTCTGTTCCAGCATGACTGTGCCCCAGTACACAAACCAAGGTCCATAAAGGCATGGCTGGGTGAGTTTGGTGTGGAAGAACTTGATTGGCCCACACAGAGCCCTGACCTCAACCCCATCAGACACCTTTGGGATGAGCTAGAACGGAGATTGCAAGCCAGGCCCTCTCATCCAACATCAGTGTTTGACCTCACAAATGCTTTTCTGGATGAATGGGTGAAAATTCCCACACACTCCAAAATCTTGTAGAAAGCTTCACAAAAGAGTGGAAGCTGTTACAACAGCAAAGCGGGGACCAACTCCGTATTAATGCTTATGGATTTAAAACAGGATGTCATAAAAGCTCCTGTATTGTAGGTGCCCCAATGCTTTTGTCCATATACTGTATAATACCTATTATAAAATTATATAATACATTATATATTACAATTAAAGTGTGGTGATTTTATTGCTTAGTCTACTACTGAAACACTGTTATTTAGACAGATTAAAATTTACACTGATAAATATCAAAGATGTATTCAAGAACAATGAGAGAAATAATCATAGACATTAATTATGCTCAAAAAATAGTACATTTCAGAGATCTAAAGCACAAAAAAATGTCGGCCACCAAAACCGGGATCGGCAAGCTGATGCTGTTTTGAGAAAAACATCCCAAATCTAACTCTTACAGCGGTCTTTATCAGTGATGTTTACCTTGGTGTAATGATCAGTTTTCACTGGAACTGTTTAACATTTCCAATTTATAAGGTTCATTCAGGAACCTACAAAACTGTGTGCACTACCTGGACAAGGCTGGGTTACTAAGGAAGTGCTAACCATATAAAGAAAGCAGAGGGTAAAATCATTTAGTCTAAACACACAAAGCACACAAAGCAAGCAAAAAAATGATTTATTTAATACATTGTTTCACCATCATGTGTCCACCATTAATAAAGTTTTTGTGGTCCATGTGCACCCGTGTGAGGGTCTACAAAACTCAAACATGAAAATGCCATTATGCACACAGTATATATGTATTTATATTTTAAAAAACCAACAGAATCTTGTTTACATTATAGGAACATCAGTATAATTTTCCTGTACGCTTATGAACATTGAAGAGGTTTTATCTAAAAAGACCTACCCTGATTTTTGGGGTTTGTTTAAAGGCTAGAGGTAAATTGCATTTATGCATATTCCCTATATACATACTTATTAACATTCATAAGCATGGAGGAAAGGTGAGATGAATTTAAATGATTGCAACGTTGCGAGCACTTAACTATGGCTAGAGAATAATGAGTTTTCGAGAGTAGATGGCAACAGGAAAGTGTAATAGAGTAGAATGAATTAAGAAAAGATATGGCACAAGCGCATTAGTAAAAAACTTGAAAAGGAAACTGCAAAAGCAGAGTGAGAGTTGAACAGCACAGAGAGTGATCAGAGTGCTATATTTGAATTCCATCAGTGCTCTTGGTTTACAACACTGCAATGCTCTGAATTTAGTTCTGTGGCAGAGGGCACACACCCTCCATCCAGCTGGTCCCCCTTTAGTGGTGCTCCATGCTGATTGGCTGTTCACACTTTGTGTCCTCTGTCTGTCTCTCTGTCATCTGCTTCACTCTCTGGGCTCAAAATCTTCACCCGCGTTTCTGTTGACCGTGGTGAAGTGAGTCTTGCAGTTTGCTGAAGATATGAGGGCACTTCCTTAAAACTGATTTCAAAAAGAGGACATTTAAGGAAGTGTTAGTTTCACATGAGGTTTGTAAAACAGCAAGAAGCTTTTGGACTGTGGAACTATAAATACTTGCAAATCTCATTTGTGAACAAGCAAATAAATCTGCCAGTGACTGAAATACCCAAAAATGTGATGGTCCAGGTAGGAGAAAATTTTAAAAGGGACCTATTATGCTTTCCTGTTTTCCCCTTTCCTTTAATGTGTTATATAGCTTTTTGTGCATGTAAACGGTCTGAAAAGTTCAAAAGTACAGGAGGGAGTAACTCTCTTCCACAGAAAACACTTTTCTCAGCTGCCTGAAATGTCTTGTTGGAATTCCAGCACTGTTCCTTTGTTACAAGATAAAGCAATCTCATAACACCATTCTTATTGCCTGCATTTTGGCAAGCTTGGCATGCCCTCCCACAAAGCACAGCAACTACTGGAGGCCAGGAATAGGTTATTCAGTTTAGTAGCCACGTCGAGAAGACACTGACCTCACTTTCAGGACTGGATTATGGCTCAAACGGATACAGCATTTTATGCCATTAAAAAAAGATAGCCAGGCCGATGTTTATAGCTGCTCAGGAGAGAAGGGTTTGTCTGCAGACTGCAAGACAGGGGTGGAACATGTAGGGGCGGAACCACTCTGGCGGTTGACCAACCAGAACAGAGTGGGCGAGCCGACCATTCAAAGCGTGTTTTAGAAAGTGGGTGAATAGAGATGTATAAATGTACAGCATGTAAATCTATTCTAGTAGATCCCAAAAATCAAATAATGAACATCGAAAATGTGCATAATAGGTCCCCTTTAAAGGGCTTCTATAAAAAAATCTGTTCGGTTTTTGTGACATCACAAGAACAACGATTAAAAATAGGCTGTTTTTGCAGCGTAGTTTCCATATATGGACTGTATGCACTGGAGCGTGAGACACTGGTGGTACATTTTGAAACTTTAACAATTTTTACATACTACATCAAAGTTTTTTTTATTTTTTAAAGTATAAACTTAACTAAAATGTGGTTCAGAAGTAACCACCTGTAGAATTCAGTTTCACTACTAATCTTAATCTAACACAACTCTTTTTATGTGTGTGAGTGAGAGAGAGAGAGAATAATGCTACACTTACATTTTTCAGGAACTCTTCAGCGACTATTCGCGCCCTTGCGTTGACTGACAGTTTCATTTCACTGATTTCTTTATCAATCTCCTCCATAAAATGGATGACAAAATCCACCAACTTGTGCTTATACATCTGCTCCGTGTGGAAGTTAGTAATGAGGAAACTGATATCATAGCCCTGGAGTGGCAAAAAACATGGGAGGGGGTTATCCTGCAAGTGAGGCTACAGTGATGTTTTAAATATAAAATGGGTTAATGATGTTTTTTACTTATGAAAAACTGCACTAAAAAGTCTGTATTTTATTCATTTTACGGCATTTGTAACCCTCCACAAATAAATTTTACATTTCTCTGTAATGCAAAACCAGACGGATTTAGCCCCAATTTATGTATCGGCATTGACATGTACACAAAATTCCCAGAATGCCCATATCAGTGCATCCCTATTTTTAAAGTAGAACACAAGAACTGTACAAAAACAGTGGTTCTGTTCAGCAATATTTGAAAAACAACTGTAAATACAATCCCAAACAACATGTAAATTATGAAACAAATGTGTAACTTAACAGTACTTCTGACAGCATGTCTTACTTCTGTCCTTCTTCTTTAAACATTTCTTACCTCCACAGCTTTTCTCCGCAGAACGAAGAAGTTCTCTGCTCTCATCATCATGAAGCGCATGAATTTATGGCACAGAATCTTCTCAATCTCATCAGCCTAGAGGTGACCGCCAGAGCAGAGTGAAGATATTAGAGCCAAATAGTTTTAATAATATACATGATTGTTTAGAAAATACATTACTGTAACATCAAGATCCTGCAAGTAAAGATTGCCCTAGTGATCAGAATGTACATATTTCACATATTCAGTGATGTATTCTAAACTAACTGTAACCTAAAAGGAATATTTGGAGTGGATCTGAAGTTAAAGTTGAAGGTACCTGTTTCACTGCAATGCTGACACGCACTGAGTTGATAGAGCCCTCAATAAGGACTTTCTCTTTGTCATTCCTGCTAATCACAACAGGTTGAAGCAACAATTCCTTACTGCTCCTGTTAAACAACACACAAAAATAAACACATGGCTAGTCAGTAGGGAGAAGTGAATGAAACACTAACCTGGCCTATGTAGCACTATGAGTCAGCGGGCATTTATTATTCATTTTCAGTTAAATGGAATGAAATGAAAGGCTGTATAAAATTAATTACAGAGCTCTATGACTGAAATCACAAATTTTTCACTGCTCTAACATGCCTATGTGAGGTAACATACAGAAAATTGGTTAGACTTTACATATTATGGCATAATGATAACAACTGCTCAACAACACCACCAAAGCAGTGCAAAAGATAACCTCATAACACACTTTCCAAAATTAACCAAGAAATAATCACTGTGCTACTTTAGAACTCAACTACACACCAGGAATAATGTACAGTGATCCCAAAAAGTATTTGGTCATATGTCCTATACTTTAAAAAGTCTGAAGTTCATTGTGTTCACTGTTAGGAAATAAAATGCCAAACCAAGTAGAAAAAGACTAAAAAGACTAACTTTTCTATTAAAAAGCATCTGGTATGTTTCAGATTGCTATATTTTGAGCAGTTTCTCTACAGACTTCTGTAGGTTTACATTGTAAATACTGCACATCTGCGTTCATGAGCTCATCAACGAACACAAGTTCACTGACACCACTGTAAGAAAAACAGCCTCAGACTTTGACATTTTCACCTCTGTGCTTAGTGCAATCTGTTTGGAATTCTTCTCCAGGCTTTCTCCACTCAAAGAGTCTACCATCAGTTTGATATTGTGCTAAAAGTGTTGTTTCTTTCAAATATCATTTTATGAAGTAACCCAAAGAACTTTAATAAAGTTCACCAGTGGTTATAGTGTCCAAATTCTTTTAGGAACCTTTTTTGAGAAGCATTTTTTTTTTTGAGAACATTAAGACAATGATGTAAAATTGGCCATTTTGGTTGCATGTTGGTCATTTTTGCTGCATATGTAAAACGTCTAACTAACGGAATGTTTCACAAAATACTAAGCTGAATGGTCAGAATGATGAAATTGTAATGTCCCTGATTAGTGCCTCTTCTATTGGACAGGTTTCAGTTTTGGATTGTTATCTGGCTAAATGAGAAATCCAGCTTTGTGAAATACACCCCTGCATTAAAGGGGAAGTACACCATTTTTATTTCTGCATAATTAATTGGTTAAGAAATAGGTAATAGGAAAGATGAAACATACAGTCAGAATCGTTCACAGCAGATGTGACAGACTTCTGAGGGGTTTTGCTTCTAAAACCTCCCTCAAAGAAAGCGATTATATGAAATGGTTAATACACTTAAAATGTATTTTTTTTAATCCATTCATGGAAATACAAGCAGAGTGTTAATAGTGGCAAAATAGTACCCAAAGAACACTTTCCAGATTTTCCACTATTTTACCATTATCAACATTACATATTAAAACAGTGAGTTTGGAAAATAAATAAAATGGCTATATTTGTGTTGTAACACTGGTTTGTCACCAGCACTGTAAAGAAATCTATGTCAGTAGTTTCTCCACAATGAGCCACTTCACATTAAACCACTCTGAATAATTTTGTTTACATCCAAACAATTGAAATATGCAAATATTTTGAAAAATCTTCCTCTTCTGCACACAAAAACACACTTACCGCACTTCAACCTCAGGTTTGTTGTGGCGCTCAACCACCTGTGAGGAGAAGTTCTCCAGACAGAGAGCCGCCTGCAGTGTTGCACGTACTGCATTCAGGTACGGACGCAGAGTCGCCGTCTGCAGAGAGGAGAGAATGGTGAGAGGAGTCGGTTACTAAGCCCACTCATGTGACCTACCCAACTCCTACACACCCACAGTCAGTCAGCTGTGTGCTTATACCCTCTTGCATTCTATATCTCAGTTACTACACGTTTCAACCTGTAGGGGAATTCTTGAAATACTGTATTCTTCCACAGTCCCTCCAACCCCACACACCACATCATAGAACCTTCGGTTACTAGGAGCATCAATATCATTCAGTTGTCCAAATCAGAGTAATAAGTAAAGTGGCATGAAGAGTAGAAAATACTTTTAATCTGCAATATTTGATGCAACATAAATAAAAGCATGATGGCAGCAAAACTGACAGATGTAAATCACAAACTTGAGGTCATCAGATTTTTAACTGGTACATTCTTAACACAATTAACAAAAATGTTACAAAATATCCAGCAAATTCTATCATTAAAGGGAAGTTCCACCAATTATTTTCTAATTTCTGAATGATTCAATCCCTAAACAGAGTCATTCAAAGAAGTTTGATGTGAAATCGCTCACTGTAGAAAAACATACAGACTTTTAGGCTATTTCCTTACAGTGATGGTGATAGGAACCAGGGATTGCCATGTCTACAACACAAATATAGCCATTTTATTTACTATCCAAAACCACCAGTGAAGCTACACATGTCTTCTGAGATTTTATTTTGTAATGCTGATAATGGCAGTCATAAATCTGAAGAAAAAAAAAGTTTTTCTTTTGTGACTGCCTTACAATGTCCTGAATGTACCCCTCCACCATGAATTCATTAAAATAAATGAATTTAAATACATTTTAATCCAAAACAAGACATCAGGCAGCGTATATCTAATCATTTCATGTAATAACTTTCTATGAAGGAGCTTTCAGGGGCATTAAACTCTTCAGACGTCTTGTTCCTATCAACACCACTGTAAACAATTCTGATTCAGCAAGTTTCTCTAAAATGGAGCATTTCACATCAAATCACTCTGGATGACTTTGTTTACATCTCAACCATTTAATTATGCTGATTAAAAAAAAATCGGTGGCGTATCCCTTTTAAATCGGTGCAGTCTATGTATACTGTATAACTGATATTCACTTCCTAGACTTCATCATGAAAGAGGAAGTCCTAACGTTCCTGCGAGAGCGAAATGACATGCATCATTAAAATGACCAAACTTGGTTCTGTTATGCTTCCACGTTGTGCTTATTCGATCTACTTCTCAAATGCTGCAACAACGAACTAAAAAACCAACACAGCTTCGGACAGTCTGGTCATTTTCCTAACTGCATCGTAGTCCTATAAAGAAATTGTTAACTATTTCTTACAGGGGTGAAAGACAAGCCTTTTTTCATTTTACATCATGCATACTCAATAACGCTGGGTCACACAGATTCTTATCAGCATCCTTCCACAAGAAATGTCCATACCCCGCAGAACAGCCTGCATCAGCTTCAAAGACTTCCAACCATCGTTAAAACCGCTGTAACGTTAGCGGTTAGCTAGCCTACTACAAAACAGCAACATGTAACCTTGTAAAGCGAAGGCAACTTGTGATGACCTGGTAAGTTGTGGTGTGCACAATTGCAAAATTAGTAGAAATGATGGCCGAGTAAGTTAGTAAAGTACAAACCTGAGCTCGCTAACTGCAGCTTTCTCACTAGAATCCAAAGCTAACTTGGGTGGGGATCTATGCTAGCCAGCTAGCTACTACTGTTTCGCTAGAATCGGAGCACCTCCGTGATTCACAACAGTTCGGCGAGCTTAGAAAAGATTCAGCATCTTCAGCACAGCACTAATGTATGCAGGCAAGTTAAGATTTTAAAATCAACTCCACAGAAGTCATTTTAGAAGTCTGGCTCTCTTACCATTTCTGTGTAAGCGGCGTTTCGTTAGAAGACGGAAACATCGGGCTACTTCCGCGCTCGCCGTTCTTTGGGGGACACGACTAACAGGGCGGAGTCCCAAATCACAGAAACAAGGTAGTAAACGAGAAGGAGTGTACAAGCACGAAATACTCTGTGAAAGCTCCCTGTAACAAAAAAACCCGTTCTTTTGAGCAAAATCATCACGTAATTTAAAAGATGGGTAATTTATTACGTTATTATATATGCTTCTATTATTCTTTCTCCAAATGTTTTCTAAACCAGTTATAATTTCTAAGTTAATTCCGTGGCTGTGTCATGCTCCTGTTGGTGTAAGCGTAACTACATGTTTATATTGGAGTAAAAACAAAAACAACAACAAAGCCAAATCAGACTATTTAGATAAAAAATCTGGAATAAATACAAAGCCAGGCACAAAACAAGTCAACTGCAAGAAGGCAGAAGTATAGAAATATATAAAAATGCAGAACTTACAAACTTAATGTGTAAACTCTAATAAATATGTGAAAAAATGTTGCCTATATTTAAGATTGATTTTCATATTTATCTGGTACATTGCTCTAAATTGCTAATGTATTTTGTGTTGCATAGTTCAGTGCCATAGTATTTGGATGTGAAGCTATATGAGAGAATGTTAATAAGTGTACCTCACAGTGTACCTCACGAAAAATAAAATTATAAATAAGCTACAGCTTTTAAAGGGGTCTTAATGCAGAATGTGCCCTACTCAGGTTCCAGAGCTCAACAGAGCTGCAGAGTTTAGTGGTAACCCTGTTCTATACCTATTTCAGTATAGGAAAGCTTGGTACTACCAAGCTACTACTTCGTGATACGCTGTAATCCTCTGCAGAATTTGCAGTCATGTACTCATCTACAACATTTCAAACATCCAGAGCTATGTTTTAGTCCTTATTAGGTAGTCTTTGAGCCCCGCACGTTTATGTGCTTTGTCTGCTCCGACTCACCTCATCAGAGTAGTAATAACCTCTTCCTGACTTTGGGTGTATTAGCTGAACAGATAGTCCAAGACCAGGGCTGCGTCCAAAACCGCATCCTACCATACTAAATAGCATGCAAAAAAGAAAGCCTCCATTGAATATGCAATCGTTAATATAGTCTACTTAGTATACTAGTGCGCAGTTTTGAAACGCAGCCCAGGAATGAGAACCAAAGCATCATTCTGGCCTGAGGATTATCTGTCATCTAAAGGTGGATGAGAGTAGCCTTTAATTTAAATATCTAAAGAGAAAAAAATACAAGCATCTTTTTATTTAAGCTTTTTAAGCTTTTATTTTGAAACAGTTCATAAAAAAGTCAACTCAATAGTTTTGCAACAAAAATAACAGAAGAGCATATCTGCAACCGAAATTCAGAAGAGTGCAAACCCAAAGTGGGTGTGTCTGTGTAACAGTTATTCAAACTTACAGCAATAAAAACAATCAGACAACAAAAAGGAAAATAAGACTTACAACAGTTTAACAAAACGTCACTTCTTCCTTCTTAATAAACTCTAATATGTCATCGTCCATTTACACATCAGCCTTTCAGACTCATCATAAACAAGTCAGAGTCATTACGGTCCTTCAGTTTAGACTGAAACATTCAGGAAAGAAAGCTTTTAAACGAGTCTATTTTTTGGGCTTAGCCGTCTTAGCCTTGGTCGTCTTCTTCACAGACGCTGCTGGCTTTTTGGGGGCTTTCTTCGCCTTGGCGACTTTCTTCGCGGCGGGGGTCGCCTTCTTAGCGGTCTTCACGCTTTTCTTCTTCTTCTCCTTCTTCTCCGCCGCCTTTTTGGCCGGCTTCTTGGTCGGTTTCGGCGCCTTGGCGGGCTTGGCGGAGCTCTTTTTGCTCTTGGTTTCGAATTTCTTCTTGTTGAGCTTGAAGGAGCCGTTAGCGCCGAGCCCCTTCACCTGCACGAGCGTGTCGTTGAGCAGCAGCGCGCGGATCGAGTACCTCAGGTACATCCGGCCGTTCTGCTGGTCAAACCAGCTCACTTTCTTCGCCTCGTTGTATATCTTGAACAGGGACGAGCCGTTTTTCTCCCCCAAGGTCCGGATGGCTTCGATCACCAGCTGGCTGTACTTGCCGGGCCCCTTACTCTTCTTCTTTTTCTTCTTCTTGCCTTCCGGAGAGGCGCTCTTTGCAGCTGCCTTGACTTTGCTGGCGGCTGCCTTCTTCTTGGTGGCCGGTGCTGCTGGGGCAGGGGCCGGGGCCGGGGCTGTCTCCTCGACCTGGGCAGACATGGTCAAACAGTTCGCAGGACGCGAAATTACAGCGTCGTGTGAGATAAAGTTTCAGCTCTAGTGCTGCGACGAGCTTGTTTTGAATTGCACGCGCATGCGACTCAGATTTAACGCCTGTACGCGGACGTGATTGAGAACAACAACACGGGCAGCAGAAGCCATTTGTTGAGTTGTGTTTTTTGCCGCCACTTTGAGACGTGTTTTCTCACAAATTCTGACCCAGTTCGAACCCGCCATGAGCCCCGTATGAAGAGCAAACGATGCTGTGAAAAGCAGTGAGCGAAAATAGTGATGTACACGGAAAACTCAGCCAGACGAGGACAAACAAAAGATCTCACCCCTCGGATACAGCGCTGTAGTGGGTGGGGGGACTCACTTTGAGGGCGAAAATGTATTAAACTGTACACCGACTCACTCCTTACTGAACATGGGAGGACAGTTGAGGGTGTGAGTGATTCCAAACGATGTTAGTTTTCCCGAGTTTACCAGAGGTGTCCGAAATACGCGGTGTTTAATTTCTCTAAACTAGCACATAAAACGCCCTCGCGTGGCTGTGAGCTGGCAAACTTTTTTCCTCTCTGCTCTCTACTCTGTTCTTCCTGGTGACCTCGATTTCTGCATCACTGTGCTGCTATTGAAAAATCTGAACTGTAACAAAAGTTTAGAGTTGTAACAAATGAGTCTGGAGCATAATACTGTTTCACATCACTTCACATGCCTCAGGTTCAATCTCCCATTAAATTAGAAACAAAATCATGACTTTAGATATGTGTTTTCTACAACGCTGCAGTACACCTCAGTCACAATATGTGCACAGTATGATGTGATCAAGTGATTGCTTGTTGAATTTGTATAATAGCTGTATTATGAAAATGATCAAGCTTGCAGCACCGATCACACAGATCACAGTTGAGCCTGCGATAGAATATAAGGTCAGAAAGACTTAGGAACCCCTTTGATTTAATGAACATCATGCACATGCAAAGACCCTATGGATGACTCTTAATGTGGGATTGCTGTTTATAAATATACATAGATTTATACATCTATGTCTGATACATCTATGCAGTTATTTAAATCACAGTGCTGCTGTCTGGCTTCAAATGCTAAATGTACAGACCATAAAATCATATTATCTGGACCAAATACTCAGCTGGCCCATGCTCTGTATAATGTAATGTTTTCCTTGCTCTAACACACCCGCTTATAAGTGGTTTAATTGTTACCTGATGAGAAACAGGCATTATAAGAGGTACAAAAAATATGTAGTGCATGGAATTGACTGGACTGGCATTGGAAACCATTCTGCCAGATTGTGATGTGCTCCAGCCCTGGAGAGCACCAGTCCAACACAGTTTGGTTATTTTTCTGCTCAAATACACGCACTAAACCTGGTAAAAGCAGAGCTGAATCAGGTGTTTTTAAGCAGAAAAAAAATCACCAAACTGTGCTGGAGTAATGCTCTCCAGGACTGGAAGGAAGGCATGTCTGCCTGCTTAAGACCATTCATGCAGATTCAGTTCGGCATTTACCAGGTTTAGTGGGGGTGTTTGGGCAGTAAAATGATCAAATTGTGCTGAACTCTGACTGTCCAGGTCCAAAACTGGACAATCTTGTTTTATGCGTAGGATCTCTTTGCACTAAACAGCTGTCAGTTGCAAACTGTTTGCTGCAGAATCATTGATGAGGAATTGTTCAAAGATAAGGCACTTAGTAAATACACAAAACAGCAGAGAACAGGGAAAATGACACTGTACATTGCTTTTTTTCATCCACAAGACTAAAATGGGTCATTAAAGCTGCTAAAAATTGCAGATGTTGACAATGTATATGCATAAAAGAATTTTAATCTTATTTTGATCTGCAAAACATGACAATTCTGTAAGTCATGAAGGCATGAGTGTTAACCCTATGTAGATTTCTGTTGGTCTAATGGAAACTGACAAGAAGCATATCAGCGGCCTACATCACAATCCAAAAATCTATACATTATTACATTTAAGAGTAGCATTTTCTTGTGGTAATGTGTAAGATTTAGCATAAATGGTTGGGTGAAAACAAGTATACTTGATATACATGTCTTTTTTTAAGTCAGCAACAGAAGGAATCCTTGACAAGAGATTTCTAGACATCACCTGTGTGACCCAATAGGGCACTTTATCTGAAAACAAAAGCGAGTATACCCTGAAGTGTATTTAAATTAACAAATTAAACTGGAAACATAGCTAAAAATAACAAAACATAAAATAATTTCAGATATAGAGCAGTTAAGCCAATCATCATATATTTTAGTGCATTCTCTTTTATGATTAGAATACCTACTTAAGCTAATTCAGGTAAAAAAAAAGAGCAACAAGACATAACAACTTAATCAGAGTGGAATAAGAAGTACTTCCAAATTACTGCAGACACGGCACAGAAACTAGTACCAAAGTTTATAGCATAATCAAGTAGTATGACGTGTATGTAGACATGTGTCTGTGTGTGTTGGAGAGCAAGTAAAAGAGCAAAATTAGTGTGCAAATCTGTTTTCATTAAACAGTGCATGTTAGTGTCTATGTAAACATGTCTCAGCAGCTGCAGCTTTCTGCTGGAGCGTTGGATCGGTCATTACTGTCCAACTTAATGGGGTCTGGAAACTCATTGTACAGCTCTACTTCTGTCTCCTAGAAGGAGGGAGAAAGATTGCAACAGTTTTTAAGCAGTACACATACATCAGTTAACATGGTGAATCGAAATGGACAAATAAGTAAATATACTGTAGGACATAATGTGTTCTGTTAACCTGTTTTAGGGCATTGCGTGCAATGGTTTGAAATGCCTGTTCGACGTTTATGGCCTCTTTTGCAC